TTCAGTTTGCAAAACAAGAAGTAAGAGATAGGCACGTCTACGAAAAATTTCGCGAGACATATTCCACCCACATTAGGTACGTCACCTCTCTGTGATTTTTGTCTATTAAACGTTAAAACGTTGGAACTTTAAAAAATACTGATAATAAATTGAATTTAAAATCTGGCATATGTGGGACGTGATCACTAGCAATAAAGCGTTTTAGATAGCAACTAATTTTAGATAGGTCATACGCCTTGGCAAATACAGCAAATGATAACAACCACTTTACAAAAAAAATGCAGGGAGTGAATTATGCTTTGCACATTGCATGGGCGGAAAGGGGGAAGTAAGGAATTGCACTTCTGCGTTTAAGTTGCCTTGGCCAAGAAAACAGAGGAACTTGCGGAATCGTGCACGGGAACCACTAAGGATTAATTTTTACAACCGCCAGCCTTCCGGAACTACCTACGCACTGTTTTTTTCATTTTACGTGTTGATTTGTAGAAATTTACCAGAGAACTTTGCATGCATAGGTCAATAACTAAAATTGCCAAACAAACCTGACCCACCAACTTTTACTTCTTTCGCAGCCAAAGTCAAAAAGACCTTTAAACACGAAGAGTGAAGGCTTTGAGAAGGAAGAACTGAACTCCTACGGTGTCAAAGAGTGTTTATACCTTAAGAAGTCTTTTCAATACACTAGAAGGCCATGATAACCTTACAAGATATTAATATTTGCAAAACTATTGAGCTATGAATCGAAATCGGTCACTTTTGGGTTTTTATGTGGGTAGAGTTTACAAGCCTAAGCTACTTTTGAGCGACTGAACTGGTAGTACTTGATCTCCATCTGCACAATCATCATTCAACGGTTATTCATACATTTCTAAACGCGAAAAATATATCCAAATGAATGGCTAGAAAACACATTTATAAAGCCTATATGCAATGAGTTACGTTGCTTTTGATTGAAGGAAATCCGTAGACTTCAGTTCACAGATGATTCTAGTAATCTGTAGTAAAAGTCATATACAGCTTACGAGCCTCAAAGTCACAACGATAAGTTACTCATTATTTCAATTCAACACGAGGAAAACATCGAGTCACGAATTAGGAAAGAAAAATTTTGGTAACTGTCAAAAAATATAGCCGATGAAAGTTCTCGTTTCTTTGGTATGAAGAAGTCCTGTTGGACCTGGGTGGTAAATTACAACAGATAGCTTTGTTTGGTCTGGGTGTTCTGATTATCTTAAGCAGGAAGCATTTTGGAACTTCTCAAGTCCATCAGGCGCATTTCTATTCAAAAATGGATTGGCCCGCCAGTGACCCAAGCACAAAGTCACAAGGATCTCATTCGTTAGCCTTCCTTTATTGAACCATGTTTGATGTCATGATGCCAAAAATTCAACCTTGCCATTTGCAATCCCCGTACACAATATTCTTCCTTGTATATCAGGCTTGTATCGGTTAATTACGATTTCTTTTCTTCTGTCTTTTGACGGAACAGTTATAATTTATTGACTCCATCAAGTTCTAGCTGCTGATGTTTTCTAGGTAAAGGGCAGTCAATTGTCGAAGTTGGAGAAAGAATGACCCTAAGTATCGTTTCCTAACTGTCTCAGCAGATCTTTTTCTGGTGTAAACTTTCGCCGTATAAAGTCTCCATTTAAAACGTGCTGTAGTCAAATCTTATTTTTTTCCGTCAGAGAAGCAACTAAATCTGATGGAAGGTGTAACCAAACGTCTTTAAAATCATAGAGGGTCATCAAGTCTATTCATAGATCAATGACTCGAGCGTGCATGTCTCAAGAAAACGGAAATTCAACTTTTCTTTTAACAATTTATCCCGACTCCTTGTACTTATGAAAACAAGAATACTTACGCGAGGCAAAATTAACATGAAGTCACAAGACTCAGTGTTCTAATGAAGCTAGTCAATTCCCACTGTTAACATGGTGTCAGCTTTGCTATTTCAGTAGAACCCAACGGGTTGGTAGGATTCCATTTTCTCTGACGAAGTGCTACGTTCGAAACGTCAGCCTTAGAACCTAGAATTTGCATTATCAACTCAGTCGATAAAAACGAATCATCTTCCATTTTTATCATGTTTATGAAAGGAATCTACCTACATCATATCACGGTGTTTAGCGGTACAGAAATAACTATTGCCTTGGGCGAGTTAGTAATAACAGGTAAAATTTATCTTATTAATTTACTTCATTTCCGTTCTTTTAACATAACAGTCTTAAAATGAATATCATATGTTTTGGAAAGTGCATAGGTTATGTTTGCCTAAGGTAATTTTATGAGTTATAATTTTCAGTGATGTCTTGAGATGCTAATGGTGTCGATAAATTATATTTTTTCAAAACTGATTTTCGCTGACATAGGTGAAGAGCCTTTCATATCTCGTGTTTCATCCGCAAGCGTCAAGGGTATGTGAATTTGACGAGTATTATGTGAAAGCTTTCAACAAAGTTCTTAGAGCAGTGCAATGGTCCCTTTTTCGGGTTTCTCGTGATTAGAGAGGATACGACAGTCTTAAGGTGAGATGCCGGAAATACGATTGCATCGTCATGTTTAACCCGATTAAATACACCAAGGGTACAAATTATCAACTAAAAAACCTGTGGAGTAAAAAGGAAGGCTTGTCAAGCCACATTGAGAAAAGAGCATCTATCTGAAACGTTAAGTTCAGGTTTTTCAGCGGCGTTGTTAAGCGGAAGGTTGAAGTAGCAGAGTCAATCAAATTTAACTACTACAGTCATGCTGAGCGTAAAGAAAATAAATCAGCGTTTTCAGAGATAACAACCAAGAGCAGAAAGGAAATCATCGGATATTAAGCTCATAAAGTCTTGAAGAATTTCCGGTCACATTGTGAATAAATATGTGACGCAAGTAACACAGGTAATGGAAATGTTCGTGCCTCCGCGCGTGCGACCACCACGAAGCTTATGTTTTTCCATCCTTTTTATTACAATATTCAAGTGGAATGTTTCATCGCCAAAAACGAAGTGTCAGCACTTTCCGATGTCGTGAGCTTTGCGTAACTACCTTTTACGTTTCTTTTGTTGAAAACGCTCCCGCAAGATATGAAACTTTCACTTGCCTGGACCGTCAAAGTTGTTTTCAATATCTCCTTGGACAGCGTTTGAAAGGGTTTCGTTTCAGAGAGGGGGGGGGAGGGGGGTGGATGTATCTGATGAAAGGTAGTGTCTCTCACATGAGGTTTATGGCATGATTTTTGGGTTACGCTTATTTTCTTCTGTACGAGATGAAACTTGATGGGAATATTTCCCTGTTCTTTTGTCCTCAACGTATAAACTGATTTTCAACTAAACAAAGGAGAGAAAGAAAACACTAAAGGAAATCTCTACAGACATTCAGATTGTCAGACACACTCCTCCCCCCCCCTTTCACCTGTCCTCCGATACTGATGTTTACTGGAGTATCTCGTTTTCTACAAACGGCCTGACTTGAAAAATGAACACGCACGAGCGAAAAAGAAAAGCATTAAGTTCTTTTCTAAGCCTCTCATAAATCAGAAATGGTTCAATCTTATGACCACATCTTTTTGGGTAACATCTTCCAGTATTTACCTTGCAGCTTGTCAGCTTTATTTTAATATTTTCTGATAATAATATTTTCTGATAAGATCACTCATGATGAAGCATGATCAAGGGGCGCGTGAATTGATTTTCTTTCTTTGTTGAGCTCGTGTTACCCTCAAAAACCAATATCTGACTCTTTGACCTCACTAGATTTTTATTCCTTGACTTCTCTGTACGAACAGCACTAGTCTTTAGCGAATTATGATCGCACCGTTATACTTGGATTAAATTCTAGACGGCCCTTTCCTGACTTAACGCCACATGAGCATGGTTGCTAAACGAAGCGCTCCTAAATCTCGCATTGCGTCGCAGATTAAACTTTCCTGCATCAGCACATCTGCTTTAATATTTTGCAATTTTAAGGGTTTTCGTCCCAATATTCTGTTTTTGAGACTGTGGGTGGTTTTAAAAAATATTTCTTTTAAGTCTAGTAACAAGATCCTTATAATCCCAATATTGTACTTTTGGACTCTTGTTGTTGTGAAAGGATGTTAGATTATTATTAGATTTCACTTTGCCGAATACAAAACCCTCGTCTTCATTGGCTGATTTTCCGCAAAAGAAAAGATTTGAACTTTGACTTAGTTACGTAAAACAACGACTCTGATTGGCAAATTTTTATTGTTTTATTTCAAAACTGAGCGCTGATTGGCCGCTTTCAGTTCGAGACGTCACTCATCTCCGCTGGCGTTTGTTGATCGGTGGCCTTTTGTTCTCACCGGGGGTGAGGAGTGGCTCTGTAAAAACGAAGAGAGGTTGCTTCTCTTCTGCAGTCGCACTTTGGATCTACAACGCGATATGAGATCCATTTTATTCGTGTTGTTGGCCACAGGGGCATTTGCGGGTACGTGATTTTATCGCTTTCATTTTACTTCAAGAAGGTTTTATTCTTTGACAATCAGATCAGGATTTTGTACTCAAAATACCGAGCTGTATCAATTTTGCATCTTTCTTGATTGCAGCATTTGCCTGCGTGTGCACTATTTCGACATGATTTGGAAATTTTTTCGCTCGGTCGATTTCGCTCCTTCTGTATTCTTAGTTGCTGTTGCCCCTTAAATCACTGAGACGTAGATCGATTTGGAAACAATGTGCTGTCAAATTGTCAAAATTTGCCCTTGTACTGAGGGAAGTTCGGGTAAAATTTGCCCGAGCAAGCTAAGAACACGAAATCCATGGATACCTCGGGGGCACATCGGTTCTTTATCGTGTCGATCTGGTTCTGTCCCGAAAGAACTTAAGAGAAAAGATCTATGTTAAATGCTGGAGGGACACAGAAAAATTATTGGCGATTGTTCTTTTTATCTTTGGTTGATCTTGTTTCAGGTTCTCCTGAATCGTTTATTGTTCCTTATGTTTTCTATTATGTCACAGCATCTCTGTTCCTCAGGGAGCTCGATGCCTTGATTAACGTGTTACTTCTGTACATTTCTTACAGCGCCCAGATCTCTTCATAGAGATAGGCCGCCGGAATGCGACAAAAGTAAGTAATGATTAGATTTTCTGCGTTAAAAATTATCTTTGTCTCGAATTAAATTTAAGCGAAGTTATCGAGCCGCGAGAAGTGAACGTGTTCGAAAATGGCAGATTGCCACGGTATCCTGATCAGTGGGATTTTGCCTTTTGAGATCACAAGGTCCTGTCATGTAACTTTACAATCATTATAACGTATTTTTTTGTCAATCTTGCGTTTTCCCCTTGCATTATTCTGAGTCATGGGACTCTCGCGGTAGAAAAAAAAAATTCCGGAAATGACATCGAATCTCCGACGGACTTGTTGACAATCAATTCCACAGAATGCATGGGGTTTGATTGGCTTGCAGCACGCTGGAAGCACGCGTGGGACAGTGGCAAATGTCACAGGGCACGTGTGTTGTGTTACATGTTTTGCTCTCTTTCCAGATTGATTGACCTTTTTTTTTTGCTTCTCTTTTACAAAGGGTCGAACAGATTTCACCATTTAAAGGAATTTCCTTACAACTATGAAGGAGAAACAATAAGTAGTGTTACAGGCGCGTCCTCTGCCCGCTCAGGGTTGAAAATCCGCGCACGATGTGTCGTCAAGTCTGTTGCACCATGTCAGCATGTCTTGAAGGTAAGTTTTTTTTATAGACCCTCGAAACTCGATGCTTGGTGATTGATAGGGGTATATTTGCTCTTCAATCACGAGGTTGTTTTTGTTTCGGAAGATAGCTCTTTATGAAAACTAGTCGACCTTGATAAGACCATCATAATCGAAGAAAGCAATCTTTGTAGTCAATCGTCAGTTTTAGAATAATTTGCAAAGTGATTTTGGTTTCGTGTGAAATGCTGCTTTCCTTGGTTATTGGATATAAATTTTATCCAATCCTATAGTAGCCCCTCTTTCCGGTCTCATCTCGCCTTCTAATCCACTGTTAGACTCATTCCTTTTGACTAATGAGGTTCTCAGTTCTCATAACTTCGTAAAAGTTTTGACCTATGCTGACGAAAACTCGCTTTCTTTGATGATATAAAATGTTAACTAGCCGCAGCGCTTTCCCAAACATTTCGTGTTATCCCACGTACTCGGTTATTCCTGGGGTAAATCTTTCGGACTTTACAAGATACAAAGAGACGTAGCGAGGGGAATCTGCGTGTTTTCATAAGACGTGATGTTGCTAATCAGCTTATTGGTCTACAAAATGAATACTTTCTTGAAGATTAGGTATGAAAACGACTATCCTTTTTTCCCTCGACTCTTACTTCGCACAATTTATTTTGCCTCTTGTAGTGCTTCAAGCTTCCCGCCCCCATCCCACCCTACGAGGATGAAAATTTAATATTGATTCTGTCGTTTCAATGTGCAAATTTTGGCATCCCTTCTCTTAAAGCATTTTTCTTTCTTTATTACGTAACGTTTCAAGTTATTTAGTGTTACTGATACATTGTCTGAATGGTTAATTTACCTCAACCTGGCGGTATGCAGAAGCCTAGTGGATAATCTATGGATTTTAATTCTTCGGAGCTATTGTTTTACAAAACATTGCATCATTTTATGAAGAGAATTGGCGATGGCTAAATTTTTCTTCGATTGCTAGTGTGTGTCCACGGCCAGTCTAAAATAGGGTAGTAATGGCGTTTTCACTTCAGTTAAATTGGCAAAAGTTATTTGCTTGTAACAGAAGACGAAAATTGAGACAGTTTATCCATGATGAGGTCAGAGGTGCAGGAATCATGTTAATGTAAACCTGGCTAACCGGTCCAAAGTCGAGTTTCACAAGATTATTTTTAGCTGGTTTTGAAAGACTGCGCGTGAGAAAGCGCGCGAGAGAATTGAGAACCTACTAGAAGCTTACTTTTTATGTCGCATAAACTTGTCTACGAATTGAATATTTCGATCTGGAAATACCCTAGAGGATTTCTGTAGCCATTAGATAGACTCGAGTGTTTTTTTCTTGTTTACCGTTACCTTCAGACTGAACATGCATCGAGTACTAAAATTCCCCGTATCGGAAACGTGCAGCATTATGTGATGAAAAGATGAGGTTGACAGGAATCGATTTTCAACATTCACTGATCATACAATTGCAGAAAACTTATGCTTAGCTTAACGACAATTAAAATACTTTTGTTTTCATCAGTAAGAGCGAATGTAACTGTGGGAGAAACGCAACAAATGGAAGTCTAGGGGATTCATTACGCAGCTAATTGCATGCCGAGTCAGATTACATCCGGCGTTTTGAAAAAAAGATAATTATAATGCTCATTTGTCTCTGATTTCTTCGAGGTTCAATGTTCAGTTGGTGGTGATATCCAATTTTAAGTCATATCCTGTATGCAATCGGACCTTCCACAAACATATCGCTTCCCGTAAGAATTTTGACCTTGGAAAAGCGCCTAGGCAAAGAAATGTAGATTCCACTAAACCGCAGCACGAAACTTGTTGCTGAAAGACTAAACAAGAACTGTGTAGTCCATATTCTTAAGTAACCAATGACCACCTCGAAGGTTTTCAAGTCTTGAAATAGTTCATTACAAGCAAAGCGGAAATCTCACGAAAGTTGGCGAGCAATATGTTAAAAAAACATTCCTCACACTTGAGACCCGAGTAGTCATGTGCTTCTTTTGTTGGTTTAGAATAAGGTTTTTTATTTCCTTCTCAAACTGTGACCAATCAATTGCCCGATGAAACAGCTGTATATCAGCGTACCGTCACCTCCCACTCAACGACGCTGAAACGCGAGAAAATTGGGAAAAAACCTTTTTAAGAGTGCACTTTGTACCCCCAAAATTCCCTCATATTTACCATCTTGCGTGCCAGACCGCCTCTTCGACGAATTCCTCACGTTTTCCTTTGGTGATTAATTGTCATAAAGTTTGCATTGTAATTTGTGGACTTGACTCATATTATCAGACGCTTTCTTCGCGCGTTGAAAATAGCAAAAAAAATATTCTTTGGCAACATGCTGGAGCATCCAGAAAAAATTTTTTTCCAAGGTGGGTGGGACGGGGGCGGGGGCGTTGGTTTTGGAAAAAAATCAAAATTCAAGGACTAATGTATTCCAGGTTTAGTTTGCTTACGACAACTTATCTCTTACTTTTAACAAAACACAGGGATCTAAAGTTGAAATCCACTTTGCCCACTTATTTCAGCCAAAAAAACAAGTTCCTGCTTGAGGTTAAAATCTTGTCAAACCTGTTTATTCTCCAGATCGACACAGTTGAGCTCTGGGAAGCCCAGAGCAAGAACCCAGGTCCCTTGGATTATCAGATATCCCAGGGATCAACAGCTTTTGCTGAAGAGCTTCAAGCTCAAGACCTTGTTTTCAGAATGGATGCGGGACGCATCACAAATATCCTCGCCCATCCAGAGGAGCCCTCTCACGTCTTGAACATCAAGAGAGGTATCCTCAGTGCATTTCAGGTGCAGTTTGTTGACGACCATGCCACCTTAGAGGAGGTAAGATCTTCTTTATGCTGATTCTTACAAACAAGTCGCGCTGGAATCGAATCTGACTAAATCTACTTTTCCGTGTTTCTCTCAAATATTTGAAAAGTTAAACTTTCAACGGTGAAGTATGTCAGTTTGAATGGGGTGTAAGCTTTTACACGAAACTGCACACCATTAAAGAAATAAATCCTAAGTTGAGTCCTTGCATCACCAAAATCTCATTAGTTATTCTCCTTACTGTCTGCCATACAATTGTTATGATTTTTATTCGGAGAATTAGGTTTTGGATCAAATATTGATCTCTTGAATTACATTCTTCCTAATTCTCATCACTTGCCTGCTTGGTATTGTATTCATGTGGTGAGGAGAAATTCTATTTTGATCACTCACGAGAGTTGAATAGATAGATTATTGGTGCATTTGTAGAGGATGATCCTACCACATCTTTATTGTCAAATTTTTTTACTCTCTTTGTATGTGTTTGGCTGATTATTTATCCTTTGGTTGCTCCTCTTGTACTTTCGTTGAATCGATAATGTTGTTTGAAAATATCGACTTCCCGAATGAAAGTTTCTTAGTTGGCCTAAAAGCTTAGAGGACGTCATGGCGCATCTTGTGAAAGGGGCCCTGTTGTCCTTGAGACATATTGTCCCCAAGGCTTCCCTTCTGATTAAACTGTATGTATAAGGGAGATTAACCTTTTCAGTTCTTTGTCTTGTATTTTAGGACGATGTCGTTGGTAAGTGCAAGGTGCGCTACGAGATTAAATCTCGGCATCTGAGCAGACGCCCGAAAGTCGTGTACAAGACACGCAATCTTACTGAGTGCACAGATCGTGCACAGACCGACATCGGCATTCACGTCCATTCTTACGAAGAAAAGGTAAACAGAGAGGTTCTTCTGTCATTGATTTCAAGAGGTCAAGTAGAATTTAAGGCACTTAGAGACAAGCGCAATCTCGAAAGTCAGAAGGGATTGTTAAGTTCAAATTCAGATCATGATTAAAAGAGGGACAATTTTACGTTACAATAAATATAATCATAGTTAGAGTATAGTCACGATCGTTTCTCAGTTACGTGAGCATATTGGCAAAATGACGATGAAAGTGTGATATGGATTGCATAACAACCGAAGGAATACCGTCCGACGTAGAGTGTCTCTTACCGTTATAGTCACGCAATATTTAAGGAAACTTAGAGACGCTTATGGTTTAGCCATGTATTAAATACCCTTTCTTCGACGTAGCATAACCATCTCCTTTGTTTTCAGCCCATCAGCTTACTGCATTCAAACAGTACATGCAAGCTGTACCTGACCGCTAAAAAACGCACCCAGAGGGTAGTGTGTGAAGAGGAACATCTTTTCCGTCCATTCTCTGGTGGTTACAAAAACGCTTCTGGAGCAATTACCAGAACAAGGTAGGAGATATTTTTTGTGATACGAAAATACTTAAGGTACAATGGACTCGTTTTGTTTTGTCTGAGATGTAAAGCTATTCCCAATTTGTGCATGTACTTCAAAATGTACGATTGACAAGAATAGTCAATTTTTCATCTCATAGCTTCTGATTACTTGTACTCTATAAAAAATCCTCCTTCTCTAAAATAAATAAAAAGAATTTTCGAGAGCTGATATATTTTCTTTCCCTTATAGACAAGTTTTGGAATTGCAGTCTATCCTTCCCGCATCTGAAGCTAACGTACCTCTCGGTAGGTGGTTTATTTTGATTTTTGTACTCTCTGTTTTCCAGCTCTGTAATTAGTATGCAATCCTAAGTTCATGCACGGATTTTACGTTAGAAGTTTGTAAACATGAAGTAGATGTGATAGACAGATGCATGAAATCGTGATTGTTGCGATGAAGTTTTCCTTTTTCCTTTATTCAAAGCCATTATTAGACAAGCAGACTTCGTTTAAATGGCAACACACATGCTGAAGAATCAAATACTTAAAATAATGCAACTTCAAGAGTAGCGTTCCAAAAGAGAAAACAAAAGCTAATTGTAACAGTCTCCTATCTTAAGCTCTCAATCACGTTTACAAAACATAAATGTGAAAAGTTTAACTTGTGCCTTAAAATTGGACGTCAGGTTTTGCTTTCTAAAAAAAATTGATTTCATTACATTTTAGAGGGACTTCGCCCTGTGTCACTGAAGTATGCGCATGCTCAGCCACAGTCTAACCAAGAAGCTATTACTGATGCCTTTTACTTGGCAAGCCGCCTTAGCAAGGAGTCAAAACACTCCACAAAACCTGAGTCGGCCCAGCACTTCTCTAGCCTTGTTTTCAGCATCCGCAAGCTTAGCACGCCAGCCATGGAAACTTTGTGGCAGAAAATCCACAACGAGGAAGATCCTAAAATGCAGTAAGTGTATTTGCTTCTTCGCTACGGGGAAATACGGTCCATTGGCTTGATCTTGATGTTTCGGCAGCATCGTTAGATAAAGAAATATCACATGGAAATGCTTTTCAGTGAATTGTAGTTGAGTGATCACACAACTCCAAGCTTATTCATAGAGGCTTTGGCAGCCGTTATCAAATCTCAATAAATTTTTAATTGAATATTCTCCATATTCAGAGGACTTGACTTGCAGGCTTAAGTTTTCTTTTGTAATGTGACAAACTACAGCATGATCACTTTCAGCTTGATGCGAGATTACAAGAGAGTGGCTTTTTCATTTTTGTCAGTCGAAGCTTCAGTTACTGAGAAAAAACATGACAATTTCATTTACTGACGTGACCTTTTTTTTTCTTTCAGCGAATACTTCTACGATGCTCTGCCTCACTGTGGTACAGGAGGATGCGCAAAGGTCATGAGTAATGCCATCAGGAACAAGCTGGTCAACCATGAGCGTGGCAACATGTTTCTGGCGGGATTGGCTATGGCAGCAAATCCCACAAAGGAAACAATTGAGCACGTGCTAGAGCTGTGTGAGGAGAACCCTGGAAGAACCGCCATGTTGACTCTCGGAACGCTCATTCACAAAGTTTGCGAGAGCAAGCCGCAGGATTGTAATGATCAGGTAAAGCTTGTAATACTGTACCAGTCTGGTAAAAGCTTTAACCCTTTAATTCCCAGATATAATAGTCAATTCTCCCCTCCAGCCACCAAATATTTCCTTTTAAACCAATTGCGAGAATTTGGTGTCAGACCAAGACAACAACTTCTATTTGATATGTTCGAGTATTCTCACTACCTGTTGGCTGGATAACGTAAGGATATCTTAGGGAGAAGTTAGATGTTTATCACTTCTGGGAGTTAAAGGGTTAGAAGATTTATACGCAAATTCTCCGAGCAATTTCAATAAGTTATCATGTAAACAGTTTATGATGACAGACCAGCTTATCAGCTAAGGGGCGTTATTTTGGAATAAGACCATCTTCTCCGGTTTAATTTACTAGGAAAAGTGTAGCAGTAAGTTGGGAGAATTATTAAGTGGATCATAGGGATTAAAGGGTTTCAGTTGAGTTTTAAAGCATCCCCCAAAATGTGCACTCTTAGATTAACGTATGCGCAATACTTATATTAAGTTGGTTTTTTTTTTTTTAGCTTTGGTTGTCCTTATGTTTGCTTTATGCATTTAAACTTTACTGAGACTTAAATGTTATTGAAACATTTTACTTGAAAGCGCGTATTCAGTTACATTTATTATTATTATGATTATGATGATGATTACAACTATTACTATTATTATTATTATTATTATTATTATTTCTATCGAAAAGCTTTGATGAAAGAGTTCTGACATAATCAATTTTAATTTTCCTTATAGGATCGAGAAAACCCCATCACAAAGGCTGAAAACTTCTTCCTGTCCCGTCTGGGTCAAGAATGCAAGGGCCAAACACCCGAAGATTTTGAAAACTTTATCATCACCCTGAAAGCTATAGGAAACGCCGGTCGACCTTTAAACGCCGAAAATGTCTTGCTCAGATGTGCCTGGAACTTAGAAGCACCCGTGAACATGAGCATCGCAGCTCTTGAGGCCCTGCGTCGCTTGCCTTGTAGTAAGCAGATGACAGACCAGGTCTTGCAGATCTATGAAGAGTTTAATGTGGATGTCGAGATCCGTATCGCAGCGTATCTTGCCCTCACGAAGTGCCCGAGTCCAGAGGTGTTCAGGAGCATCGCCGAAATCCTAAAGCATGAAGTGAACAATCAAGTTGGTTCTTTTGTTTGGTCCCACATGACTAACGCCATGGATTCCACTGAGCCAGTTCATGGTCTCCCTCAAGCTGAAATAATGAAAGACGCCCTCAATGGAATGAGGCTTCGAGAGTTCAACTTGAATAGGCTAAGGTTTTCACGTGCCTGGGAAGGTTCATTTTACAGCGGTAAGATCATATTGCATGTGTGAAGAAGACAGAATTTCTCTCTAGAAAATCAAGCAGATAATTGACGAAAGTAAAGATAGATATCAATCGGATAAATCCTTGACACCCCAATATTGGTATGCATGTTCTCCATATTCTTTATACATTTTCTATGGAGCTTGCAAAGAGAATTTGTCTAACAATCGAGAGCTTCTTGAGTTTCTGATCATGTCCCTTATTTTCATGAAGTTAATGTTTGATTTAGGGGTGATACTGTGAGGAGAAATTAGATGCTTATCACTCTCAGGAGTTAAAGGTTTAATAGAAGTTGTTGTAATGCCAAATACTCCAAACTAACACGTTCTCAGGCGTTACAGCTGTATAAAGATGAAGGTTCTCAAAACTTTGCTAACTAAACATAATTTCAAGTCTCTTGTGGTTATATTTAACAGATGTCCTGAGGTTCGGTGGATCGGCTCAGAGCCACCTTATTTACCACCCTACCAGTTTCTTCCCACGCAGCGCCATGGTGAACGTCACCGTCGACGTCCTCGGTGCATCCATCAATGTCCTGGAGGCAGGTGCACGTTTCGAAGGGTTTGAGATTCTTATCGAGCAGTTTTTCGGAGAAGACGGCTATTTCCCTGATGACCGCATTATGCAGATGTTCAACCTGAAGCCCCACGAGGAGAGGGATAAGGAAGAGAGAACTGTAAAGACTTGGAAACACAAACAAAAGAGGAGCTTGAACGAGGACTTAAACAAGGTGGAACATAACTTGAACAAATTGCACCGTATGGTAAGTTCGTGTTTTTTGTTATCAATGTATGAGAAGTAATGTGGTTTCCACTGTTACGACTGTGTATACGGCCACAGTTCTGGTTTTTTTTTTTTTGGTTAAAGATTGATTGTAAAATTTTGATAGAAAATAAGGTTTATAATGTTTTCATCGGAAGAAAAGTGAAAAGGAGAAAAAAGCTTGAGGAACTAAGCACATTGTGGTCATGCAGGGTGCATATTAATGTTGAGATTATAATGCTGGCCTGTCAGTTTTCACCTTCTAAGGACGTGTAGAATCGTAAAAAACACATTCAACAAAATGTGATATGAGACGATAGCTTAGAGATTGACTACATCTTAACCCTTTTCACCCTAACATCAGTATGCTTATTCATCTCAACTGATTCATATTTCGTTACGTGTTTGTAGATGGATAACCGTAAGCATCATCCTTCTGGGGCTGTTTCTGTGAAGATGTTTGGTAACGAATTGAGACTTCTCAGCTTTGACGACATCAGCTGGTTAAATGACGAAGTAGACAAGATCAACGTGATCGACATATTAATTGCTTTAGCCAAGGGTGGCAAAAAGAGCTTCAGTAAAAGCATGATGTTCTTGGACGCTGAGACTACAGTCCCTACCATCCTCGGTCTGCCGCTTAAAATGAGTGCCAAGGGAACCACGGTGGCCTCTGTAGAACTCGCCGGAAAGTTTGACATCAGGAACATGTTCTGGGGAAAGATGCGGTTTGATATACGTGGCCATGTCAAACCCAGGTAAAATAATTTAGGACAGAGTTTAATGTTTCTGTTACGACGATTGGAGTTTAAAAGTAGATGTGTTTATTTTTGATTACCGAAAGCGTTTTGGTGCACAGAAGATAAACTTAGGATCGGCCTGGTAAACAGCCAAAGAGTTGACCTTAGTTTATTGTATTTACGTATAGATATATATATTTATTTATATATTTATATATACATACATACTAAATATATATATATATATAACTGCAGACTGTACTGGTTCAGCCTTCTGGGCCTCACCAGTGCAGTGCTGATGCCAGGAAGGAGGTGTCAGCACTAAGCTACCCCGAATGATGCCACAGGTGTGGTATCATCTAAGCTATATATATATATATTTTTCGGATTTTCTCCCATGTTGTCATAGTTAACAACGAAGGGAAGCATAAGAATGAGGGAGTGATAAAAGGGAATTGCTCATCCGACCTGGGAGTAGAAGTCACTCTACCTCAGCCTTACGGTAGTACTGCCATTATGCAGTCTTCTTTCCTTAAGCGTGTCTCACTTGTCGATGGCGTTTTTATTTTTTAGTGCTATTGTGGACGTGAGTGGCCGTATGGGAGTGAGTGCAGTGTATGCTGAAGCTGGCGTTCTTGTCAATTCCTCTTTGTACACGGTAACACATCTCAAGGGAAATGCATCCTATGCTCAAGGAGAAATCTTGAAGTTTGAACTGGGTGTCCCAGAGGAGCCTGTTCAGTTTGTCAACGTATCGTAAGTAAAGCCTATTATTATTAATATTATTATTAAGAATATTATCAAAACTAAAATTTTCTTTTCGTTATTTCACTTTTTCGAAACGATATCTAGGTTAAGTGAGATTGTGGTTAAACAGATCGTGGAAACTTTATTAATTCTAATAATAAACTTTCAAGTGCTTCTCCGTTTTATGATGCAGTCATCGTGGTAGGAAACGCAATCTTACTTGGTGACGATTGTGGTGCTATATGTTAAGTATTTCTTAATTTTCTTGTAGGTCATCGCTTTTCGTTACTCTCAACAACGAGAAACTAGCTATTGACGGAACACCGAGGAGGATTGAGGTGAGCAGTTTAGGACAGGGCTAATGCATCTTTACCTTTATTTGAGACGATGCAGACATGCTTTGAATCAAAGCGGAATTACAGCCGTTAGGATGAAACTGTCTCATGAGATGGGATAGGAACAAACTGTGTGATCAAGAATTAAAGCTAAATCCAGCACACTTAAAGAATTATTTATTGTTGTTGGATTTCAGGAAAAAATTTCGCCCTAAACAATTCGAAATAGCAAATTCCTGAAATCGTTCAGATGCACTAAAAGGTTTTTTATTCTTCCCTTTTACTGTTTCATTACACGATTAAAATCTAGTTTTGTGTTTCCAACAGCCTGCACCTTGCCTGAATTTGACACGTGTACTCGGACTTACATTCTGCAGTCAGCTGTCTGTGCCCTTGGCTTACCGTGACTACGAGTCACCGTACTTCCCATTTTCTGGCCCATCCTCCTTCAGTATTTCAATGACACGCACAGACCCTAAGCTCACTAAATATCAGTTGATAGCAGAACGCTTGCAAACTGAAGACGATAACAAGTATGATGTGATGGCGGTAATGTCCACACCTGGAGCAACGTGGGAGCGAAACCTGGAGGCAAACGGAACTCTGTGGATTAAGAAGGATGGCAAACTTCTCAGTGTGACTACTGCTGCTCTTGGCTTAAATTTTGGCAAGTTTGAGGCAACTTACAACAACATCACTCACGCAGTGAATCTCACATATTCTGGAAAAGACGCTGTTTTCGGACACCCAATCGTTGTTAATGGTCACTTTTTCAACAACTCGGAGGCGGATAGCCTTTATCGAGATATGGGTTTCCAGTTGTCCGCTTCATATAGAAATTACACCATTAAACAGCTGACGAAGCTCTACAACAATTCTAATGCGTATGGATATGTTAGCAACTTGACGTACTGGCCAGGCAAGTACCTGTTTTCCACTGGAGAACTAAACGTCCCAAAGAAGAGGATTAGTTTCCTAGCAAATCATACTTGCACCCAAACGAAGATCCGCTTCAATGGAAAACTTGGTGAGGAAGAAGATGATTTTGTTTTTAGCTTCAGCAACAAGCCAACACAGGCAGGAATCGAGCTTACAGGAAGATATCTCAAGGTTCAGAATGAAGGGGTCCTTCGCCTGTTTGCCCGCCCATGCAAGCAGTCCTTTACTCTACGTGGATCATATGTCAAGGCGGGACAAGAGAAAGGTATTCAATTCACAGGAACGCATGAAAACAAAAATCGTGTCATCAGCTGGTACACAGGTATTGTAAACTCGACTAATGAGAAGTCCATGAAAATAAATGGCACCGTGCTTGGAAGCAAAGCAGAAGCTATCTGGTCGTATCTGAATCTGACACAAAATAAAGGAGTGAAGTTTCAGGGAGTCCTCCTGAACCAGTCCGTCGACGCCGTCTGGTCTTACGTCAACGCTGGGCAAGAACAAGGGCTGCGATTTAATGCAACTGGCCTAAACAAGACCCTTGAGGCAGCCTTAACGTACCTCAACCTCACAAATGATCAGAGCTTGAAGTTTAATGCAACAGCCCTTAACAAGACCATCGAGGCGGTGTGGTCATACGTGAACCTCACTACAGAGAAAGGAATGCGATTAAACGTCTCGGGATTGAATCATAACATCCAAAGTGTTCTAACCTTCCATAATTTAACACAAGAAAAGAGCATCAAGTTCAATGCGACAGCTCTGAATCAGACTCTGGAGGCTGTGTGGTCATACGTAAATGCAGGGAAAGAGAAAGGATTACGAATGAATGTCACCGCCTTGAACAAGACCGCCGAGATCATCTGGTCATACTTCCATTTCGGCGACAAAAAAGGAGTACGTTTCAATGCTTCCGCCCTGAACAGAACAGCGCAGGCAAGCTGGACTGTCATCAACCGCCACACAGCGAAGAGTTTAGAGTTCCAAGCCTCCGCTTTAAATAAAACCGTCAATGCCACATGGACATTGGTTAGTTTGAGAAATGAGAAGACTTTGAAGTTCAATGCTTGTGTTGGAAACAACACAATCAATTCTTTTTTGACCTTCTTGAACTTGGAACATCAGAAGAGCTTAAATTTCAACGCAAGTTATGGAAACAAGACCTTCAGCTCCACTTGGACGTTGTTGAATCGTCCAAACGAAAAACGCTTCACATTCAAGGCAAGTACCGGAAGAAAGAATTACAATGCTACCTGGGCCTTCTTAAACTTAGGATCCAAAAAGACCCTAAGATTCGAGTCTCACTGTGGATACAGGATGATGAACTCCACCTTGACTTTTCTGAACATGCAAAATGAAAAGAGCGTGAAATTCCAGGGAATTGCTTTCAACAAGAGCATCTCTTCTTCCTGGAGCTTCGCAAACGTGGAAAACGAAAGGAGTCTGAATTTCAAAGCTAGTGCTCTCAACAAGACCATCGATGCCACATGGACCTTCCTGAACCTTGCCAACGAAAAGAAATTGAAGTTTAAAGCCAGTGCAGAAAACAAGACCATCAACTCGTCTTGGACTTTCCTTGACTTCCCCAATGAGAAGAAGTTGATTTTCAACGGAAGCGTCCTGAACAAAACGATGAACGCCACATGGACCTTGCTGAGTACGGACAGACAGAGGAACCTGAAATTGGAAGCGAATTTTGCCAATAAGAACATAAAAGCCACGTGGACGCTTGTCAATTTAAGAACTGAGAAGAGTTTGTTGTTCTCAGGCAGTGCTCTCAACAAAACTGCCGAGGCCTCATGGACTTTTTTCAACTTTACAAGTGAAAAGGGATTGAAGTTTAAAGCAAACTGCCTAAACAAGACTCTCGAAACAACCTTATCATATTTGAATTTCGTCAGAGAGAAGAGTTTGAAGCTCAACGTATCTGCCATGAACAAGACGATTGAGACAGCATGGACCTTCGTTAACCTCACCAATGAGAAGCTCATAAAATTCAATGCCACTGGATTCAACAGAACTGCTGAGACTATCTTTGGTTACGGTATCGATGGAAATCAAAGATCCATCAAGTTTAACGCATCCGCCATGAACAAAACTATTGAAGTTAGCACGAGTTTTGTGAAGAGTGGGGAGGAACGTGCTATCAAATTTCATGCCTGCACCTCAAACAAAACTGTAAAGGCCGTTTGGAGCTACCTTCGGGGTGAATATGTACATTCCATAAAATTCAATGCTTCTGCTATGAACAAAACTGTGGAGGCCACCTGGAGTTACATGAGGAGCGATGACGAGAGAGCGATCAAATTTCATGCGGCCGCCTCCAACAGAACTGTGGAAGCCATCTGGAGTCTCAAAAACAGCGATCAACAAGATTCCTTCAGGTTCAATGCTTCAGCAATGAATAGAACCGTAGACATTGTCTGGAGTTATTATAGAGCTGAAAAAGAAAGAGCCATCAAGTTCCATGCCTCGACCTTGAACAATACTGTTGAAGCAGTTTGGAGTTACTTGCAGAGTGCGAATGAGCGATCCATCAAGTTCAATGCGTCAGCTGTAAACCAAAGCATGCAGGCTATCTGGACACTGTTGAACTCTGAGACTGAAAAAGGACTCAAGTTTAACCTCGCAGTCAAGAACAAGACCATGAATACTACTTTAGTGTACTTCCGTAATCCATCCAACTTGGGAGTACTTCTAAACGTGAGCTCCTGCAACAAATCTGTCAGCCTGTTGAGCAAAGTCTTGTTACAGGGGGCAAACAAAAAAGTCGTCCTACAAGCTGCCTATCAAAACTACAGTGTTGCTCTCGTCGGGGTCTTCAAGAACATGACTTCTCAGAAAACTGCATGCATCTATCCTGAATACCTTGGTCGGTCGCATGGGAAAATCTGCGCTGTTTTTTCAAACAGCTCGGTAGAGACCAGTATGTCTCTCAACTTGACGATCCTTAACAGAACCGGTGAACTGAAGACGCAGTGGTATAAGAACCCCACAGAATATGCTAACCGCCTAACTGCCAAGTTCCACAATACAGTTTTCTTTGAATCCTGGATGAGCTACATAAACTCCACTGAGCTGAGAAGCATTCATTTTAACACAACAGTCTTGAACAGATCCGCCGATACTACTTTTTACTTCCGTAACCGCACTGTAAAAGCAATTGGATTCAACGCCACAGTTATGAAGAAGCAAGTTGGCTTCGAGGGAGCCTGGCTGAATGGGAAGATCATAAAAGAAGCAGCTGTTCACTTGTTTTGGAACAAATCTACTGTAGCGAGGTCATCTTTGATTTTCTTGAATAACACTCAACGTAAGGCGCTTCAGTATCGTGCACACCTTGGCCGTTTCGTCGCCGAATGGGAAGGTACATACGTCACCCAGAAACCTGGTGTTAAAGAGTTTCTGACTTTCCGCATGCTCCGAAATGGAAGCCAAAGTCTTTTCGTTGATAGCGCAAAATTGATCTATACCAAGACCGAAAAGACTCACGAACTTGGATATCAGTACAATCTTAGAGCGATGGGCCTCTCCTTTGAGCATGGCTGGGATGCTTCTTATTACAACTTCTCTAACGTCGAGGATTCCTATCACGAAGGAAGGTTCTCTGTGATTTATTCTAAAGGCAAGAAAGTTTCAATGACAGGAATTTTCAGAAACACTTCTAAAGAACTTTCTAACACTCTAGTCGTCGAGTATCAGCCCGAAAAAACGGTGACTCATTCTTTAGTTTGGTACAAGCAACGCAAGTCAATAAATCTCAGAGCTGAATTGATTCCAAGCAAACCTTTCACGTGGACGACTACCTGGAACAGGAATAATGGCTTCTCCTTCAACAGCGCCTTGGATATTCTTGGCAAGAAAATCGAAAATCGATTTGACTTCAACAAGGAGACAGGCTACTATGAAGTCTACTTTGAAATTTTCCCAGTTTATCCACTGAAAGTGAGAGGAATGTTTGTTCAGGACCACGGCCTGTATTTCACAACGGAGATTTCAGCCTTCAAGAGGACGTGGAATCACATAATCGACTTCAACGAAGAGGAACGAAAACTGGCAATTTCTGTCGATGTCTTTCCCGGAACAGCAGTGGCTGCTGACGCTAGTTGGAAGAGTATGGACGACATAGGAATAGCTGTCTATTTGAAAGGCTTTGAGAAGTCACTTCGGGTGGTCTGTGATTACGATAAACTCACTAAGACCTTCACCTCTGGCCTAACCATCTTCAAGCGAACACTGACCTTCACTGAAAGGCTAGACACAGAAACAAGGACCCTTTTCTTGACCTTTTCTGCCTTTAATCGTACCGCTGGTTTTACAGGAAGGTTTGACTGGAAGAACTATGTCGCCAGCACGTTCGTAAGCTACCAAAACAACACGGCAGGGTGGTTTATTAAGTTTAACCCCGCCTCAAGAAGCATTGTTTTTAACGTTACTGCCACGCCTCGTGTCTCTGGACAAGTGGTGGGAGAAATGCAGGAAACTAATCACCTTCAGGTCACGATCCAACGCAAATTTGGAGAAAATGTAGTAAATGAATCACGCTTGATGTACCTCCTGAATTCTGACGCCAGTCGTGTTTCGTTAACGTGGAATACCTCTACCATAGCGACTTTGGTCAACCAAGCCCAAGTTTTTAAGACCCTCCTCAGGAACGTGACCTTGAGGTTCTACAACCTAACTGTCCTTATGACGAAAAACCTGACTAAGGAGGTTGAGGTGCTTGTTAAGAAGTTGGAGGCCAAGATCAAGCCCACCGTTCTCAAGTTTTACGCTGAATGCAAGGCTTTCAACTACAAAGGATTGATGGAGAACGCCACAGGTATGGCACAGAACATGTCACTTCGACTTCTGAACATCACCCTTACATCATTGAACAATACTATTAACAACCTTACAAGAATGATTGGTAACGCCAACTTTACACACATAATCGGTAATGCCTCGGAGTTTTACAAGACGATTCACCAGAATGCCACGGTTGCTTACAGACGTTTCCGCAGAGAGGTGCTTCCTCCCATAGTTGGAAATGTAACCGTCCATCTTCAGAACATCAGCCGGGATTTACAAGGCTGGGCCAAAAATCTATCCATCATGGCGAGTTCGGTAATGGTGCGTGGAGAAAGAGTGGGTGATATTGCCGAGCGTGTTTCCAAAAAGGTTCAAGTTATTACCGCGCAACTCATGGAGAGAGTACAGATGAAAACTCGCGAACTTATCGAGAGGCTTCGAGAAGTTGAGATGCGTGGACGGCGGCTTGGTCCCATGTATGACCAGTACATGCTTGAGATGAAAAAGTTCACTTGCAACTTCAACGCTTCCTGTACACTTAGGAATGTAACAATATTTGCTAAGAACCTGACAACAAGTGTTCGCAACATTACCGTTTTCGATAAGACGATCGAGGAGCATTTCAAGCTACTGAACAAGACTTTCCTGGAGAATTTCGAACAGCTTAACAAGACCGTGCGATCCAAAGTGGAGGTCCTCTACAAGAGAGCTTGTCTCGCGCATCAAACAGCGCTGAATTTCACGACAAATTTGACAAAGGTTTTACCCAAGCTGATAAGGAATGCCACCATTCAAGCTATCCATTTGGCCGAGAACTTGACAAAGGAATTCAGAAACATCACCATCCAGGTTAGGAAGGTCATTCTAACTGCCTATTCAGATCTACAAAAGACTCACCGCCCTCTCATTAAGTTTGCTAAGGACGTCTCCATTTCACTCGAAAGGAAAGCTTATCCTATTGTACTTAAGATTGTCCATCAAGTGCGGAACTTCACCTTAGATGTAAAGAACAATGTTACGAAATACTTGGAACCAATTGTCAAACCCCTTGTTCCAAAGGCATTCGAAGTAATGCACAAAGTGCGCAACATCACCATCCGAAGTGTTCCTATTGGCCAAGTCGTGGATAAAGCTGTTCTTGTTTCCCTGAACATCGCATCTGAGACACTGAAATTAATCAACCACACCGTTTACACGAACGCCTCCGCTCTTATTGCCTTTATCCGTCACAATTCACAAAAGTCGGCTGAAGAGATCTTGGATTTGACTATCGAAAAGGGCATGGAGTTCTTCAATCTGTCAAAGATGATCTTAAACGAATCACTTAGTCTGGGACTCAACCTGAGCCGACGAGCCATTGTGGTTTACAACAGCTCGGTAATGATCCTGAATAAAACCTTGCAGAAGCTTCTGAAGATGCGTCCTGACGAAATTGTGAACCTCTCTATTCAGAAAGTGCAAATAATTGCCCAAAATATCACGGCAGAGGTCTTTAGTATTACCAAACAGTTGCGTGCTTTAGATGTTTCTGGCAAGATCAAAGCAGCATGGGCCAAAATGGACGTCATAGCTAAATTCGAAGCTTTGCAAATTACAGCCAAATGGCATCAACTTGTGGAGCACATTCAAGCATTCAACATCAAGGCGAGAGCACTTCGTGTAAGAGACTTTATCGGAAATGCCTCACTGAAAGTTGCGAAAGAATTGGAAGACATCGCCAATCTTGCCAATCGCGTCTTGGCCTTAGCAACTGATCTCGTAAACATGAAAGTTTCAGGAGAAAAGTTTATGAAGGAAGTGACTTTCCTTTCCAAGGAAAGTAGGCGAGTTTTCACCAAGTATGGAGTCATGGCCAAGAATACAAGCCTTCACTGGGAAAGTAAATTGCGAAATGCTTCGTACGAAATGGCATGCCTCTACAAAAACATCACAATCAACAAGACCCTCGTAGCTTGCAACATCTTGAAGAAACACGGTTTAATCCTGTACAATGAACACCAACAAGAAGGACTTAGACTGTACAACCTTTACAAGAACCTCCTGATTAGGATATATGAAGACTTAAAAGCTAATGTCATCCAAAGTCTTGGGATCCAACGGGAGAAGCTATTAGGTGAATTGAATGTCCTGATCACTAAGGCTAGAAAGCTCGAGAACATGACCTACGAGGAGATAGTTGTGAAGACCTACGAGTTCCTTGGGAAGCACGGACTGGCCATCTACAACAAAATCACCGTACGCGCACTAAACCTGTACAGCAACATTTCTACCCATGCACGTGAATTCTACGGGAATGCAACTTTCCACGCAGTGAGACTATACAATAATTTCACCACACATGGACTTCAACTCTACAAAAATGTCACCCTACGTGCAGGGCAACTCTACAACAATGTCACGGTACGTGCGATGCAAGTCTACAATAATGTTTCTGCCCATGCTCTGAAGCTTTACAAGAATGCCACACTGATTGCGATAAAACTCTTCAACGAAACCAAAAATGTAACTTTGAGAGCGCTCAACCTTACCTTAGTCCTGGTCAATCACACTAAGATGATGGCCTTGCAGTACTACAATGCAACTCTAAACCTGACTATTCACTACTTCAACATGGGCCGAAACTACTCCCTTCAATACTACAACCTCACACGCAACTTGAGTCTTCAGCACTTGTTGAAGTACTCTAATCTGACGCGCAATCTCACCCTGCATGTCTACAACGTGACACGGAATATCAGTTTACAAGCCTACAACAAGACCAGAGCTCTTGTGCTTCAAGGAATCCGTTACGTAAACCTCACCTTCGTCCCCTTGGTTAAGGCCAACTTCATCCGAGGAAAGGTTCTCGTCCTGATGTATGCCAATGAGGCTGTGGTTTTCGTCCAGTCGACCGCACAATCTATGCAAAAGTGGTATAGTGAGAACAAAGAGAAGACTCTCGAGGAACTCTATTTCGAGGCTTTCGATCTCGCAGAACGCAAATTCTTGGAGAACAGAGTCTTCTTAGAGAACAAATATGAAGAGTTCAAGGAGATTGTTGAAAAGAAAATCAAGGAGAAGATTAACGATGCCAAAGTAAGATTCACAGGAAAATTTGAAGAGTGGAAGAAGGAGCTGCACAAGCTGAACAAGACTCTGATTAACATCACCGGAGAGGCGATCGCCCTGTACAACCAAACCGCTAACATCACCTTCATTGCTGCGAAAGAACTTCTCGCCGTCTTCCATCCGTATATGAGGGATATGGCTAATAAGACCGTCTTCTACCTAGTAAAGGCCAAGAACGTCTCTCTTCCACTTCTCGAAAAGGCCGGAAATATCACTTGGCTAACACTCAACGAAACACTAGAACTGTTGAGCGAATCGGGGCAGCAGCTGAGAAAGAGCTATGCAAAATTTATGGCCCTTGAAGACGTCCAGAGGCTTATCCAGAAATACCAGGTAAAACAACGTTATGCAATGGTTGAGAAATTCGTCATGGAGAGGTATAACGAGATCGTGGAGTACCTGAAAGTGATGAAACCCACAGTTGAAGCCAAAGTGAAGGAGGCGATCTTCTATCTGAACGTAACTCTTCCAGCCGAAATCAAGGGAAGATATGCTATGATGAAGGACATGTATGATGAGATTGAGAAAAAGATCCAAACTCTATTGGCTGATCCCCAAATGCTTTTCGAAAAGGCCCTTTCAAAGGCTCAGACTGCCATTAAAGATACATCTATTGAAAGCATGGTGCATCACAAACGCGTACAGGAACTAATGGAAGACTTCCGTAACCAGCAACTGATTGAAAGTTGTCAAGGAGTCGTTAAGAACATTTCTGTAAACCTTGGAAAGGCCATCGAGTTGGCATTGGAGAAAGTCAACGAATTAATGGAAAATCTTAAAACTAAGGCTGTAGTTATGGCAGATAAGATTAAGACGAAGGTACAAGAAACGCGCCAAACTTTTATCGTGAGGTTTGAAGAATTCAAGACCATGAAGCTTCGCGAGATCGTTGAGCACAATTCTGTGTTCAAGACCATCGAGCTGGCGAGAAATGTTTCTCTACAGATCAGAAATATGACACTTGAGGCCAAGAACATCACGAGCAAGTTTGTGGCGATCGGAAAGGTCTATTACACGAACTTCACTGCAAAAGTTCAGAATTACACTAGGATTTTGAAGGCTAAAGTTCAGAACTACACAAGATTCTTGAGAGAAAGAGTTCAAAATTATACGAAGATTGTCCAAGCGACTGTCCAAAATTATACAAATGTCTTTAATGCAACATTCCAGAACTACACAAAGATCCTCAACGCTACTTTACAGAATTATTCAAGGATGCTCAATGCGACAATTCGCAATTATACAGCGATCCTTACTAGTCATCTCAGGAATTATACCGTAATTCTCAAAGGCCACTACGAGCGCATCTATGCCAGCCACTTGGTCCCCTTGCACAGAAATTACACCTTGTTTATCAAGAAGTACCAAGCCTTAGCTGTGGACTGCATCGGCCGCTGTAAGAATTTGACTTTGAGAGGAATTGCCATTGCTCGCAACTGGACAACTGCTTCGGTGAATTTCACTCGAATGTGGATCAACAAGACCTTGGAAGACGGTATGAAGTATTACAGAAAAGAACTCGAAAGAGGCATGAGGTACTACAGAGAGGAAGTGAAGCCTTTGTATCTCAACAAAGTCCTGCCATTCTACAAAGACACTGTTTTACCTGTGTATCACAACTACAGCAAGCTACTGATTATGTTGCAAAAGAACATCACAAAGACGGCTCTTGAACTTAAAGACAGTGCATTGGACCTGAAAGAAAGGGTAATAAATGTGAGTAGACAAGCTCTCCAGATGGCACTTGACATCGAGTCTTCTCTCGCGCTTCGTGAATTCGGTAAAATGACCATCCGTGAGTCTGTTCTTAAAGGACGTGTCCTTTGCATCCGTGCCTACAACTTCACCTTGAACTTGACTCGTTTGGCTGTGAACTTGACAAGGGAGACGTATAATATCGGTAGGGTACGCCTTGCCTGTGCCTTGAACACAACAGTGGCTGCCATTGATTCAACTCTACTGAACTCCAAACCTCTCTTAATGCTCTTCAATGATACACGAGCAGAGTTGATCGAAACCGCTGTTTTCGTCACCAAGTACTATGGAATCGACGATGCCGTCAAAGGGCGAATGCGTAGAAGTTTTGACTTCACAAGGAACGTCACCATGGACCTTGTCAACAGGCATGGACATTATCTTAGAGGGAAAGCGCAGATGACTATAGAATTTGTAAATGCCTCTATCCAAACTGTTAATGCTCCACGATTCATTAAGGCATCAACGCTCACAGCTCTAAAATTTGTCAACACCACTATGAGATATGTTAATCACACCATTGGATATCTGAACGCCACCTTCGTAGACGTAACGCAAAGACTCAACAAGACCATCCATTTTGCCCGTTCTATTATCACAAAGAAAATCCTGGATGCCCGTGTTGCTTTGAACAAAACCGTCCAAGATTTCCATGTGGCTGTCAATAAGACAATCGTCAAAGCTCTAGTGTCCATCCGCAATGCCCGTATTGCCATCAACAAGACCATCACAAATGCTCGTATGGCCATCCGCAACGCTGGTGGAACAATCAACAAGACCATCACGGACTTCCGCTTGGCTCTTCCCCAGTATATCCAGGTTACTGAACACGGTGTCACTGTTGTTATCCCGAGATTTGACGGAAAGATCAAAGCCCTAGCCTTAGCCTCAGTAGAAAAAATGAAGACCTTAAAACGGGACTTCCTGGAAAAGATGCAATCCCTTAAGGAGACAACCTTAGTCAAGGTTCAGGCGCTGAAACAGCAGGCTGCAAGGAAGATTGAGTCACTGAGGCAAAACGCAGTGATAAAGATACAGTCTATAAGACGGGAAGTCTTAGAAAAAATGGAGAAACTGAAACAGGAAGTACCGGAGAAGATAAGGCTTTTCAAACAACAAGCTGCTGTGGAAATCGCAATGTTGAAACAAAGGGCAGTCGATAAGTACAATGAAGTGAAACAGAACGTTATTGTCAAGTATGGAGAGCTGAGACAAAAGTCAGTTGAGAAGTTTATTGAGCTTGAGGATAAGGCAAGAATTATGTCGGGCCGTGTCAAGACCATCGGTAAAGCATGGGTAGCAGTAGCTATGAATAAGACGGTGCTCTACCAGCAAAAGGCATATGGCTATGCCATGAAGGTTTACAACTTAACCAAGAATCACCATCTCACAAGAAAATACATCAACATCACCCTTCACTACTTCAATGTTACCAGGGATCTTGCTGTGTTCTACCGCCAGCAGACTTACAGATTTGTGATTAGCGCTTACAACCTGACTAAGAACCATCCTCTTACCCAGAAGTATGCAAATATCACTGTCCATTATTTCAACATCTCTAGGAAACTTGCAACGGTCTATCGTCACAAGATGGTGAGGCTCCTACGAAACATTTACAGGAGGACCAGGTATCACCCCATGACTGTGAGATACCTTCACAAGTCTGCGTATTTCTTCACCGTCGCAAAGAACTTCTTTAGAGGTTTGAACATGACCTTGATAAGGAACGTCACCATCCAATACACATCCCGTGCTTTGAATTTGTCCCGCCAGTGCTACAATGTCACCAACAGATACCTTTCACGTGCCTTGAACTTGTCGCGGCATTGTTACAATGTTACCCTGTCTCGTGCGCTGAATCTGTCACGTTATTATTACAATGCTACCAACAAATATCTATCGCGTACCTTGAACCTTTCTCGCAACTTGTATAACACCTGCATGATCCGCACTCTGGATATCTCCGTGCAAGTGTACAAAGTCGCTCAGAACGTCACACTGGATATCTTAAATTCAACCTGCCCATCAGAGGCCCTGGTGAAAGCCATGAACTACTCCAAGATCGCCATCAATGCGACTGTGAAGCTTTACAAGAAAGCTCTACGTCAAGCCAGTAGTTGCTCGGCTACAGCTTATAACCGAACAATCAAGCTTTTCCGCGATGCCAAGAACTTCTCGACGATAGCAGTAAACAAGACGGTCAAACTCTACCGACGAGGATTGCTGAAAGCTAAGAATCTCTCGACGATAGCTTTGAACAAGACAGTCAAGATCTATCAACAAGCTTTGCTAATGGCTAGGAATTACTCCGCAGTGGCTGTGAACAGGACTCTGAGACTTTGCCATCGTCTATTCAATAAAACCGTGTTGGTCGTTTATAATACAACCTTCATGAAGACGTACATTCCTATGGCCTTGAACCTTTCACGTCAATGTTACGGTATCACCAAGAATTTCACAGTCGAGGTCTACGAAGTAGCTGTAAATGTAACCCTCGATATCTACAATTCCACCTGTTTGTTAGAAGCCTTCGGCAAGACGAAGAATTATTCGAGAGTAGCTTTCAACGAGACGTTCAAACTTTGCACCAAGGCACTGGGTCACGCCGTGAAATATTCAACCATAGCACTGAACAAAACCGCCAAGCTCTACCGAGAGGCAGTGGCTCAGACTAGGAACTACTCTGTTGTTGCTTTGAAGAAAACCATAAGGATCTACCAACGTGTGTACAATAGAACTGTTCAAGCCGCTTACAACACTACTGTGATGAAGAAGTACCTTCCAATAGCTCTGAATTTCTCACGTCATTGGTGCAGTGTAGGATTTAGCATAACTCGAAATTTCACCGCTGGTGTTTACGAAGTTGTCCAAAATGTCACCTTAGATATGTGCAATTCAAGTAGCTTGCCAGAACTATTCGGAAAAGTCAGGAACTACTCACGCATTGCCTTCAACCAGACCGTGAGGATGTGCCTTGAACTATATGGCGAAGCTTACAACTTAACCTCGCAAAGATATGCCGAGCTGAAAAACTACACCTTGACGTTGTACAAGGCCATTATCCAGCACGAAATCACTGTCTTGTATTTGAACCACGCCCATAAGTACCTGTACTACACCAGGAAAATGATTACAACACACGTCCGTAACCTGCACGGAGCTAAACGCTACTGGCAGAAAAGGATGAGTCACCAAGTGTCGCAGATGTCCTATTCTCTGAACCCAATTAATTGGATTCCGCCGTTTAACAGTAAGTTCACTGAGTGAACCTTGTTCTTATATTTTCATTTGGATCCTCAAGCACCACGCTATCTAATTAGCGATCGTTCCTTTTTACTTCTACCCCTAAGCTTCTTCTTCCTCCTGCTTTGTAGTTATGAGTAATACAATATTTTTACGTTTCGATAAGATCCACGAAATTATCATAATTATCATCTACTCTTATATGCAGTTAATTTGATGATAAATTGGAATTTGTTAGAGGCTGCGTGTTATACTGAGGGCTATTTTGTATCCGGTTCATTTAATTTTTCTACTCTTACCAATGATGCGTACACTATTTGTTAAAAGGTACGGCGATGATCTTTGGTGGACCCCACGTGTACACGTTCGATGGTACCTACTACAAATTCCCAGGTTACAGTAAGGCTGGCTGCATGTACGTCTTAGCAAGAGATGTCCGCGACAACAAGTTTACAATCCTGAGTCAAGAAACAGCCATCATCGTGATCACGGAGGACTCGAGCGTGAAGATACATCAAGACGGTAGAGTTGAGACGGTTGTCAAGGTAACTTCATCTGGAAAGAAAGTCTCCGACGGTTATAACAGCGAGCTTCCAGTGGAGAGCTTCAGCACCACAGTTCAACGAGAAGGATCTTTCATCATTTTCCGTCATGACATGGGCCTGGAGATCGTCTGCGATGTCGAGCACTATTTGTGTACTTTCAACATTGCTAGGTGGTTCCATGGACGTATGGCAGGTACGAAATAGATCGATTTCCAATTTTCTGGCCCTGGCAATTTTGTTTTCTGTTACATTCGTTTTTCTAGTAAATTCACTGCAAATGAAATTTGTAACACTTTTTTTCCAGAAAACTCAACTACCCTTCGCCATTTTCTTGTTTAGTCAGTTCTGTCCCCTTTAAATATGTAACTCGTTTGTTTAGGTCTCCTCGGAACAAACAACAATGAATTCCATGATGAGATGATGACAAGCTCCAACGCCCAAACCAAAAAGTTGACCGAATTTGTGGACTCTTGGGAGGTCACTAAAGATCCAGAATGCCGAGTATCAATGGAGAAACCGGAAAAGCCCAAGTGCAAACAAACAAGCTACAGCCGCCGCTGCCGAGATCTTTTCAAGGACAAGAACTCTCCACTAAGTCGCTTCTTCTCAGTTGTCAACCCAGAACCTTTCATAAAGGCCTGCGAACAAGATTACAGGGAATGCGACTCGAGCACTCCTAAAGACATGAAGCACTGCAATTCAACTGCTGCTTATGTTGAGCTCGTTAGAATGAAGGGACTGTGGGCCGAGTACCTGCCAGAGTGCGGTAAGTGAAGTTATTGTGTAGCCATTGGCGTTACATCCAGATATTTCTGGTCGTTTGGTACGACGACCTTTCATGGTTAGGTAACCCAAAAGTTACTGTCTTGAAGAACCAAAGAAAGAGCAATACTAGAGTTGACTAACACGAATTACAAACTAGACATTTGAAGAAACTTCAATTTTAGGAGAATTTTCTTAGCACGCATAATCAATAACGCATGTCCTTCATGGAAAGCCCGCGAGATCTCTTAACTGACCAATTTATGTAATCTTTTTCTTCTTAGGTCGCTGCGGCGATAATAAGATCGGAAAGACATGGTTCCAGAAAGCAGACAAAGCTGTAGATGTTGTTGTTTTTGTACACGAGACCTCTATCCTGAAGAGCTATGCTGAGAAGCTCCCGACATTCCTCTCCAGTTTGACTGAGTCCTTGGGTGAATCCAAATTTTCCTTCCGCTTTGGAGTGGTTGGATTCGGTGGTCGCTGGATACACAAAGGTCCGCACACAATCACCCTTGACGGTCAGCTGATGAATGATATTGATAGCATTGACGGGGCTTTTGAGCATCTGAAGTTCTCCGACGCAGATTCAGACAACGACAGTAGTAATGCTTTGGAGGCTATGGCTTACGCAGCCTATAAGTATCCGTTCAGGCCAGGTGAGTAGTAATGAAGAAATAACAATGGTAACTGTGAAAATATAGGAAGATGAAAATGTTTACATTAAGACTTGCATCGGTAAAAATTTATTTTTTTTCCTTCAGCTGCTACTAAGATCTTCCTGCTATTAACAAGCACTGATCGTCATTCAATGGCTGACTTCGCTTCTCTCGAAAGTATCAGTAGCATGTTGGAATCAAAAGACATCATCTTGAACGTTATCGGAAAATACCGAAAGTTCCGCGGCGAAGTTATCGGTCAAAACTTCAGAGGAAATGTGTATTATAGAAAGCGACCCGAGGCTGGTTCAGGTGTAGCTCCCCTTCCTGAAGGCGAGTACGTGTCGTTAATGAAGTCCACCGAAGGATCTGTGTTTGGCCTCCCGTTCCTAGGATCAGATAACAAAGCTAAATTTGGAGCATTACAACAAGCCAGTGTCAGTGCGTGGCGAGAGCAAATCAAACGAGATCAGTTTACATGCAAAGAGTGCTTCTGCGCACGCGGAGATGCTGGTCAAGGCAAAACCATCTGCAAGAAGAACTCATTCCATACCAAATGCTGAGGAGAACAGGAATGGTGAGTAAAAATAGAACTTTAGCTTTGGTGGGAATTTTTTTAACCAAACATAGTGAAACGGAGAGCAGAACCGAGACATTCTAGTGGAGGAAGACTGGCATCCCAACCACTGGGGAGTAGTAATACCCTAATTGTTTATGCCAAGGAAACGGTAGTAAGCTCCGGCTGAATTGGGGCACTTGGCTTGAGTACAGACTGAGCCTTACCCATTGTTTCTGGTCATTCCTGGTTACGAGAGGGTTTACACACTTTCAGTTTAAATAATTAGCTTTCAGATCGTGGCAGTGCGAGGTTTAGTTCGTAAGTTCCCAGAAGGTTTAAGGTGGGCTATTTATTTAAAGCGCCTCTTTTTTTGTTAGTGGTTCATTGTGAATCTCACTTACAGTTTTCTCATGTTTCCTTTCGTTCCAGACGATTCCTGAAAAGGCCAGTACAGTAGAAAGCTTAGCTTCGCCCACGGAACTGTACAAAAGTCACGCTATCTGTAACTTGCTTTATTGTAGCTCGAAAATGCTTAAACAAGTATATGTAGTAGTTGGGTCACGTTATCGCAAAGTATTAATAATTTATAACAAAAGTTAATTTTATTGTATTGAGAAGTTCACATCGTTTCAATAAACAAAGCAAGCCTTAGCGTGGACGATGATTTATTTGTGAGAACCCTGTTCTCGATGTCCGAAGAGTAGACTTCATGAAAATATGTGATATAGTAGTTTTGGGCTAACTGATGCGGGTGACTTTCTGGCCTTTTCGTAACTCAATTCTTAGACAATTTTACAAGTGATGAATAACATTATTTAAGGTTTCTTAGTTTTATGGGACGGCTAGCCATCGATGCTTGCGAAAAGAAAAAACAGAGACATGATTTTATTTTGAGCCCCAAAACACACCAGAGGGCAAATGATATGTATTCATTAGTTTAAGTTGTTAGAAAGACAGTAATTTTTTTGTTAAATTTTTTTGTTTCACGGTGCCAGAACGTTCGTAAATGATGAAGGCAGGAAAAAGCATCTCGCGGCTCTATCTTCTGATGAGAAGAACGTAAACCGATATCACAATTTGTTTATTTTAGGGGGGTTTAGTTTATTGTTAATAAAGACGAACATTGAAAATGAAATATGAGGGTTCTTTGCTTCTTTGAAAGAAATTTCTGGCCTCTTCTAAACCCCTTTTTGTGTTCACCTATTCCCCCCTGATTTCCTCTCGTGTTTTTTAGACTGAGGGCATAGAAAGAAGTTCTGAATTATTATTTTTTTCAATCTGTCCTGACCTCCTCTCGATCCACCCCTTTTTGTGATTATCTATTTCCTCCCTGGTTTTTAAGGCTTGGGGTAAGAAAGGCGTTCCAAATTTTTGTAGATCTATTTTGACCTCGTATTAATCTAATTTTGTCTTAACCCATTTCCTCCCAGGTTTTAGGACTTGCGGTAAGGACGGTCACTCTTTTTTTTTTTTTTTTTTTTAATCCCTTAAAAAAACCCTCCAATTTTCATTTGACGCCTTTGTTATCCATGGTTTTCAAAATAACGAAATTGCAGTACGCACTGAGAAAGCCATGAGGCGGGAGCACGCTCGTATATTCACAACTCGTGCCTCAAGCAGGCCGCGGCTTGCCGTATTTACTCAGTTTCACTTCGACTTCCTATTAGCGCTAGGGAAAATCTTAACTACCAAATAAACACCGAAGCGGTTTAGGCCCTGGTGTTTGATCAAGGTTCGGACCTTCATTTTCGGTAAGCTAAGACGTAGCTGTTAATTAGGAGACGCGAAAATTATCGTTATGGACCATGCGACAGTTTCTTGCGACTGGATGAGGTGAAAATTTGGCTGTCCTCACTAATCCTCTTTGAGTCTCGGAGAATGGGCTACATATATAATCAACTTAAATACGATGGAAATAAACATGCGCCGCTTGACACTTCAAATCGCCGGCTCCAAACCTGTAAATGAGAAACAGCTAATTTCTTCTCATAGTGCCACTATTGAAAAAAACATCACGAGAGTAGAAACGAGAAGGAAAAAACATCGCTAACTAACGGAGCTATTTACTGTTTAACAAATATCCTTGTTAGCGCCATAGGAAATAGACGAAGAAAAGTATGGAGAATAAAAGATACTGATGTTAGGCCCTAAGCCGAGTTGTTTGATCCGGATAAATCACCATGGCAACGTGTCGATGGGGTTCCGTGCAATCCTGATCTCTCAGTGTCCCAGAAAAGTGGTGTGATCCATTAACCCTTCACACCGTTGATTTTCTATCAACTTTTACTCAGTGTCTCGAACCGTCGATGAAAGTAAGCATCTTGTGTGACTGGGTCTCAGCTGTGAATAGATTTCCTTTTGTTTCGGATGCGACTGACAAATATCGATATTTTGTCCCGAGGCTTAACTCCGGTCTGTTCCCGTTAACAGTAGGGTGGGGTAGGCGTTAAATTGTTTTGGGTAGCTAGGCAGTTGTCGGTTCGACATTCTGCTCACATGATAACTGATAACAAAAATTATCATTTCCATGTCCGGACAGAGAGTACGGAAGACTACAAGAACCATTTAGAACTGTATTATCTGTCGTTCTGTAATTAATATTTTCGCGCCAATCAATGCTTTAATTAGCATACTGCGAACAAAATGCGTGATCACAGTAGCCATCACTTATGGGCTCCTGGTGTTCATTAATTACTTTACTGCAACACCATAGTCTTAATTAGAAATCTACCAAAACTATTCTGAATAAATCAAGACCTTTGAAAGATTCGATTACACGTAATTATAAATCAACATTGTAGCGACATTTTGAGAAACCGACACTTTTTCCCACACTTCCGGTAGATTTGCATTTCCGGTAATGCACGGAGAGAGCATTAAAATACTGAATATTTTAACAACGGAAGTCAGTTTTCGCGTAGCACTCTTAATTCAAGTATAAATATTTTTACACAGCGCTGTGTGTCAGTACGATCGCCATTGTTTAGCGCGCGAAATTGGGTATGCAAATATTCCTCTTGTTTTTGCTGACATTTGCATGAAATGTACATGCAGTCACCCAACCAGAACGGCGTGTCAGAAGTTGTCACTGAAGGCAGATTCGTTTACGATGCGCTACACACACAGTGTGTATGAAACCTTTCCGAATGAATGGTTAGTGTAGGACGTCATAGACTTTTTAAGCACACAGTATTTTTAAGCTTCTGTTTTGGGGGATTTATTTTGGAGCTTTCAAGCGAAAGTTCTGGCATTCACCGAGTTAATCGTGCGTGAGTATGCCTTCTCAGAAGGACAGTGTGAAAACTGATCGCCGAGACATGGACGATGCCGCCTCGGTTGGGAACAGCGAAACGGCAGATCTTGAGTGTAGTGAAAGTTCAGCGATTTCGCCAGGAAGGAATCTGTTGAGTTCAATCAGAACCTTCCTGTGGTCGCCGTCGAAAGACAGCGAGAAAGATTGCTCTGCGAAGCGTAAACGATCTGACTCGGACAGCGAAGACGAGGAAGATGCAATAATAACATCCAACCTTCTCAAGAAACGAAAATTTACAACCGAGACAACGGTTGTAAATTCTGTTGCTACGAAGTCTATCGTCGATGGGGAGTCCTCTAAGCGAAAATCGCTTTTGGGAACTTTGTTTTCGCCAGTCTTTACGCTTTTTGGAAAGAACGGTCATTTCCAAAATGTAGAAAAGGAAGGGAAAGTAGTTGCAAGTAATTCGACAAGTGGATCCAGGATTTGTGGCGCGACAAATGGCGGTATACCTGAAGAAAGGGCATTGTGGCATCAAGGTTCATCGACCATAAATAGAAAAGCTTTAGCCGTGCCTAATGGCGACGTCAATGGAAACGTTGGCGATGAGACTTCCGAATCTTCGGAAAACGAATGGGAAGTTTATGATCCGTTTTACTTCATTCGCAATCTTCCCCCGCCAGAGGAAGGTGAAGACGCCACAAGCCGTGGTCCTGTTTTACCCTTACAGACCAGAAGCACTCCAGAATTTTGTCTTGTTCTTGATTTGGACGAGACACTTGTTCACTGCAGTCTCAACAAGCTGGAGGATGCCAATTTGTCTTTCCCTGTCCTTTACCAAGACATTCGTTATCAAGTGTTTGTACGCACCAGACCGCATTTGAAGCGCTTTCTCGAGCGAGTCGCAAGTATGTTTGAAGTTATCCTCTTCACTGCCTCGAAGAAAGTCTATGCAGATAAGCTGTTGAATATCTTGGATCCCGGTCGAAAATATTTCCGACATCGCCTCTTCCGCGAACACTGTGTTTGTGTTCAAGGGAACTATATTAAAGATTTGAACATACTCGGCAGGGACTTAGCTAAAACAATGATTGTGGACAATTCACCTCAAGCATTCGCTTACCAGATTTTCAATGGAATTCCAATCGAAAGTTGGTTTGTTGATAAGTCGGACAGAGAATTGCTCGAACTTCTTCCCTTCTTAGAAATGATCGCCGCTAGAAAAGACGATGTCCGGCCACACATTAGAGACAGATTTAGAATGCACGAAATAGCTGGTTTCAGGTAATGGATGAAACATTCATCGAGGATTTAACCACAGGCGAATCTATTTTAACCCAGACAAGTTTTGTCAGCGAGTATGTTAATCGATATGATATTTGAAATCTGTTTAGTCCAGTCGAGACCTTTTTAAACCGGATTTATCTTTGTATGCGGGTATAAGAAAGTTTCATTCGTGACTATAATGGCGAACGAATCGCGAAATATTGCTCGTTCGTAATGTCATACACACATTACAGACCGCTATAATCTCTTATATATGGGAGATAAATATCGGAATCATCACACATTTAAAGTGTTTTATATATTTCAAGTATAGTTCCGGCATGATTTATCAATGTATATTTTAGAACAAGTGAAATCTTTTTCCTGTGTCAAAATATATTGACGTCGAAGACAAGACGTGAAGTTGTTTCCACTTATGCAATTGGACCGTACAGTTTTAGAAGAAAAATTTCAAAATTGTAAAGATTTTATATTCCACCAACATTGTACGCATGTAAGCTGTATTATTTGTAAATATGAATTCAAACAGATAGTCAGCACTCTGTAGGTTTTATTTTTTCACTTTTAACTGTTAAAGTTTTACAATCTCATTCTACAGTGTACAGCACTTTTTAAAAATTTGTGTAAAATAGTAATTATTTGATGAACACAAAGTTAGTAAAGTAACAAGGGGATTTGGTTTTCCGTAGACCACACGTATCTGTGGATGATATGAAACGCCTAATACAGAGCTTAAAATATTTTTCACCGATTTTTGGTGGGTAAATTTACCTAATAACTAAATAGGGGGAATGTGTTCTCATCTTTTTAAATTAATAATTATGGGAAAGGAATAGTCTGTTCATGTGTCTTTTAAATAGATTATGGTATATTTAGAAAGACAGGTTTCTGTTTATGGTACTTGAAGGAGAAGTCAGTACTATTTGTAGAATAACAACATTTATGTCTTCACATGGGAACAGTATGGAAAAAAAATAAAAAAGTTGACTTCATTAGTCCCTTATTAATTTTGAACACCTATGCTACAAAATAAAGAAAACTATAGACAATGAGAACCATACTTGTATGATGACACAATTGCGTCAACACAAAGACATAATTTTTGCAACAAAGGAAAACTGAAACAATAATATTCATAACTATTTGCATAGTGTCAGGTCCTGGCGCGTTTGTCAAGGATCTTGGTAACTTAACAGACTCCAAAAGCTGTTCTGTTTTCATTCAAGATGGGGTTTTCAAAAGTTTTGAAAAGTATACACTCAAACTCTTAGCTAAAGAAACAAAATAGATGCTTATGTATATTCTTTGAATTTTGATTGTAAAATATAGCTTTGGGCCTGTTGAGTCAGCAGAACTGACAAACAAACCTCAGCCACTCACAGCTTTGAATGACTAAAGTTAAACCCATTCCACTGTTTTATTGAGCAATCAGAGGCAAGCAGAAATTTGTCTTTTAACACTTTTGTTAGTCTAAAGTGATAATTCTTATTATTTTACAAATATTTCCTTACTATCATGTCAAGGCAACTTTATCATTCTGTTTACACCACGCATTTGTAATAACAAAAAATAAGAATGTCAATCCACGATCCTAATAATCCCTCCACTCACTTTTGGGAACTCATTAGTAATTCTCCTTACTGTCTGTCATAAAACTCTTATGAAGTTAGTGCAGATAATTTTGGAATAAAATCAAATAATTATCCCCTTAGTTATCCTTTTCTTTCTTCTTAACACTTGCCTGCATGACATTGTAGTAATTTTGTGAGGAGAAATTCTCTCTTTGTCTCTCATTGAAGTGGAAGGGATAAAACAATTTATTTTATTCCTGAGTTATTCAACCTAGCTACTTTTAAGCTTAAAAGCTTGTTCATGTATCACATTAGGGAAAAATTTCATCGCAGGTTGTTATGTCTTTGTCAGAACCTTCAGAGTATTGTTGACATTTGCACGACCTTAGGAAGTATGAAAACCTGCATGTGTTATAATTTGGTTTTAAAATCTTTGAAGGGAAACTTTGGAACATTATCTTTGGGATATAAATTTTGAACAAAGTATTTAGACAGGAAAGTCTTGTAAAACCAAACAGTCAACATGTCCCGATAGAATTTTGCGAAGCACATAAAGTTCAAAATTGTTTGGAGGAGAGACAGGGAAGGATTCAATTCTATTATGTGATGCAAAACTTTTAACTTCCATTGTATTTTGAGTAATTTGATGGGAAATGAGGTTTGAATGATTTAAGAAAAATTGGAAGTTGTGAGCAGGATGATTGAATAGTCTTGAAAATGAAGGGAAATTAGAATATTAAGCGAGCGCTGCCCCATATACTATGGATAAACTTAGTCAAGTCTCTAATCCCTGAGTGACTCACATCTAATTTCTCCTTACAATATCACTGCTGAATTACATATTCAGGTAATAAGAATAAAGGAAATGATCACCAACTAAAGAAACTCTGGACTGTTGAGACAAATTTTACTTGTCAGCTCCAAAAGAGATGAATGGATCGGTGTGGAGATTATGGATATTGGTGTCAAGGACTAACATTATCAAGGCAATGATCTCATTTGATTGAGTTGTGCGAGGGACTCTCTTGTTTCCTACTGATCACCCATAATTTAATTGTTTCTCGTGGAAGAGTGGTACCTAGATTAACTTTGACTTCTGCCTGTTGGGGTCATCGGTAGCTCTCATGAATTAGTGCGTAATACTATCTGCGCATAAGAACATAAGATGGCGGCGAAGATGTGAAATATTAGACAGCAGACGGTGCAGACTGATATGTTGTCATGGAGTACGGTTGAAAACTAGCCACATCAAATAGGGTGCACTGGGGATAAAAAAAAAAATGAACAACACTGAAGAACAGCTTCAAGCGCTGCTCTATCAATGCGAACAGGTGAGAAGGTCACGATCGTAAGTTGAACGATCAACTTCGAACAGGTTTTGTAAATCTGCGCTCTTTTTCTGCATTTTTTTTCTGGAGATCGCATGACCGTAAAATGACTGTGTTGCCGAAGGGGAGGAAAGTTAAGAAATTATATGCTTCTTCACTGAGCTTATCTTTTTTTCCTCGCTCAGTAATGTGCGGACGAGTTCCTCTATTTCTGTTTATTTTCCTTGATTGAACAGGGGAAAGAACTTGATAGATTTTTGAAGGAGATTTACGTTGTTCAAACACCCCTGTTTTTTTTTATAACTGTTTTTAGATGTTTACCCTCAGTTTAATTCCCGTTTCTGCCTATGTTCGTTTATGAACGTAATCAACGCGGCATATTGAATTCTGTCATTGAATCAGCTACGCTGTACATATACTTCACAAGAGCTACGGGAGGAATTTTTCTCGAAATGGGGTATGACCTTAACAGTGGCGTGCTAGGATAGTTTAGGCTAAAATGCTCTATGTACACCCAAAAGAAGCAAAGACGGATGAGCTTTTGCATGTATGCACCTATACATTTGTAAATGCATACAGATTGCAAGAGCACAGTTGTACCTCTTCATAACTGTCACCTGGGGAACAGAAGAAAGTTTGGCTTCCAGCAGTGAGGTGGCTATTACAGTGAAGGATGAGCATAACATAACACCTATTTGAGGGAAGAGGTCCAACCTTTTTTTTGTCTGAAGAATGTGTATCAAACACATGAACTGCTTAAACTGTGGCAAAACAGGACTAAAAATAATTATACCTAGAAGAGGAAAGTTCTAAAGAAACCAAGTCAGTTACTATAAGTAGATCAGCTTGTTTAATATTTCATAGCGATAACTAAACCTGATTTGATGTTGTGACTTTTAACACACGGATATTTTGCAAGTTTTATAGTTATTTTCCAACAACCACTCCTCTCAGCTTGCCTGTCTAACATTTCTTAGGCACAATTCCCTCAAGGGTGCAACGGTGGCTTGAAGTAATAATGAAGTCAGGTTAACCATTTTAATGTAATTTGTCGATAGGCCTTGTTTACACTGTATAGTGGACATGATCAGACAAACAGAGACACAGCTCACAAGTGGCTATTGACAACACAGAAATCACATCAGGCATGGCAATTGTGTTGGAGACTCATGCAGACTGATAAGGTATAATTTTGTCGATTCTTGAAACAATAACATGTTTAACCTCGAGAATTTTGTCCAAGGCACCAAGATATTGTGAGTGTATTGATTGCCTGGTCAACAACCTATCGTTTATTGCACCTGTAAACCCATAGTTATTTCATTACAGCAACAGACTGCACTTTTTATTGTTTGTTATAATAATACGCATGGGATACTTCTTCATGAGTTACAAACTTTTCTTGTCTTCTCCCAATATCCCACATGGGTTAACATTATTAGCTTATTTATAAATAACAAGGGCTGGTTATTTTAACAAAGTTTAGCTGTTGTGTAACAAAACTGTGTTCTAAACTTTCTTGAATTTAGCTGAATCTTTTATCTGGACATTCATTCTTGTGAACAGTGTCAAGAAAGCTAGCAGTAGAAGGACATTTATTTCACGAAAACAACCCTCTTAAAATGTAAAACGGCAGTTTGGGTCAAACCTTGTCTAAATTACTGATCCTAAGTGTTCTATACACTATTTAATTCCCAGATTATTGCAAATGCCCCATTTCTTCCCCCTTCTCTATCAGGTTGCAGTCTCTTATTAACCCCTCATCTAAAACTTAACCCATTAACTCTCTAGATCTCATTAGTAATTCTCTTTACTGTCTGCCATACAGTTCTTATGATCTTAGTTTTGGTGAATTTGGTATTGGATTAACCAATAATCCCCTAATTTATATTTTTCTTTATTCTCATCATTTGTCTGCTTGATATTGTATTGATATTGTAAGGGGAAATTCTCTCTTGGTCACTCACAGGAGTTTAAGGTTAAACCTTTACACCCTAACCCTCTTCCCTTCTCTAGTGAAGTTCAAGATTCTGAGAAGTTTCTTTCTAAGAGGATCATCTTAGGGTTTATGGTATAATTTATCATTCATGGTTAAGTTACGAATTCATACACTTGATTTATTGCATTATTTTATTTGTCTTTATTTTGTTATAGCCTCCAGAAATTCAGTTTTTTGGTGCTTCAATGCTTTACTTCAAGATTGCCAAGAACTGGTTAGTTATTAAATGATTCTTTTATGATTAGTTTTTTTTGAAGCACTCAAACTCATCCATTACACCAGAAACTTATTCCCCTCCCCCCTGTCTTTCTGGATGTCCTAATGCTTTGTTCCTACCTTATGGATATCTGGTTTAACCATTTCACTCCCAAGATCTCATCAGTAAATTCTCCTTACTGTCTGCTATACAATTCCTATGAAGTTACTGTAGTCTGGAGAATTCGTTATCTGGTCAACTAGAAATCCCCTTTCTTTATTCTCATCACTAGCCTGCTTGATTTTTATTAATACTGTGAGGAGAAATTCTATCTTGGTTATTCATGGCAGTTAGAGTGTCAAGACTTCTGGGTACACATGTACATTTTTTGGAACCATTATTTTGTTTATCTTCAGGGGGGAACTTCAAGAAGAACATTACAATGACTTACGATCAGAACTTTTTAAACACATTTTCACATTTTCCCCTGGACCAAGGATTGTTCTTACAAGGCTCTGTGTTGCTGTAAGTATTTAGGGACAGTTTGTCAGTACCAATTTCTACTCCGTGATAGAGAGGACATTGTGAGAAAGATATTTTGAATCAAGGAACACATGGCTTTTCCATCTACAGTCAGCATTTCTTAGAATGCAATTCTCTATGTATGAGTAGAAATGGGTAATAGTGGACTATAGTATATAAACCAGGCTCTGGTTGTTCGAAGGGTGTATAATGCTAGCCACTGCACAAATCTTGATCAGTTGAATAGCAGAGTCCACTTTCAGATTAATACTTATCCACTGGATAGCAATTTATCTGTAGATACCGTTATCCACCCTTTGAAAAACTGGGCTTAGGATTATAAATCTTCTGCAGGCTTAAAGAACTCATTGAAAGACATGCAAAAACACTTTGTTAGAGGGAGGAAAATTTCTTTCCTTGAGCCTAATGTATGCCTAGATTTTACCATTGTGATGACAACTGCCTGAGTTTAGTTAGATACACGTGTACACTGTGACTCAATTCCTAATTTTGCACGAATTTCTTTTCTTTTTCTGTTAAAGCTTGGAGCGTTTGCCCTCAATACGATGCCAGAATATTGGTCAAATGCAATAAGTGATATTATTACTACACTACAGAATGCAGGAGGCTCATCACAGGTATGTTCTTGGTAATGCCAAGTATTATCATAGTAACACTTGACCCTTTACACCCAAACATCAGTATGCATATCCTCTACACTGACCTATATACATTCCTATGGAACTGACAAGGAGAATTCATTTGAGAATCAAGAGCTTCTCTAGTTGTTGATCATTTCCTTTATTCTCATGTCCTTTATGTGTGATTCAGGGGTGATATTGTAAGGAGAAACCAGATGCTAGATGTTGACATCATCGATGCATCTATCCATCACTATAGTTCATATAAATTATAACTACCATTCAAGATGCATGCATGTATAATTCAGCCTATTACATTTACATGCATCTCGTTTGATGTTTTAACTTACATTATGTATAATATGCACAGATCTTTTGTGAGTTGTGTAGTAATTTTCCAACCCCCATGGGTGTGAAAAAATTAAAAAATGTCCCCTATATTATAATTATGTGAAACCACCACTGAGGTATTTTTCATTCCACTATTATTTCAGTTTTTAGTCTTTTGGCCTCAAGTTTTGAAAACTCTTTACGTTCTTATCTGAGCAGTGTACCAATTGCATAAGGCTTGCTTGAAAGTAGAAAAACACACAAAAAAACCAGTGAAGTGTTTTTGATGACTTGAAAAGAATTCTTGTTGGCTTTGAAGTTTGTTGCTGAAAAAAATATTGCCTAAAAAATGGAAAAGGAATCAAAGATTGTGTGGATTGTTTCTGCTGGTTCTTTTGCACTGCTACACAGTATATTGTCGTGGTATATTCTGCACATTCCTTTGCCCTTATATGGTAAAATGACATAATAGTGGAATAATAAATGTATTTATTAATTAAAAATGAATGAACAAACTATCCTTATCAATGCTTTCAGAATGGAATGTGGTCCATGGCTATGCTGGAAGTTCTTACAGTGTTGCCAGAGGAGGTTAGATCTTTATAACAAATCCTTATCAAAGGGCAATTTTCAATTCAGTAATGAAAGTAATAATAATAGTAATAATAATAATAATAATAATAATAACAATAATAATAATAATAATAATATCTTGATTTGAATCTCAATCTTATAGCCAAGTGTAAAGCTTTACTAATTAGGAGGACAATTTCTGAGTAGCTGAGAGAGCCCACTCTCTTTTTCTCAAACCAAAGCGAGTCACACTCCAGTAAAGGGGCAAAGTTTTTAAAGGAACTGTGGTGCTATGTCAGTGGGGTATTAAAAGATAATTTGATTTTATCATCTGATTTAATTGGCCACAGTAAAGATTTCCTAAATCTGATGTTTCAAATATAGCCCTTCATCATAGCAAATTAATTAGTGATTTTCCTTGTATAGTTTCACTCAGGAGATTTTCCACCTGGAAGAAAATTAGCTCTTAGAGGAGAACTGCAGAATGGAGTGTCTCAAGGTACTATTCAAGGCAGTTTTGAAGTGTTACTAGTCATTCCATTAAAGAAGTGTGATTATAAGTATAGTGTATGCCTCTGAATGTTGTGTAACAGTTATTATGTTTTCCACAGTATTAAATATACTCTGCTCTGTGTTATGTAGAGTGTATGCTAGTAACAGTTGGAATCTACTGACTGTATACTCCTGGTTTGGTTCCAAAGGATGTTTTTGTTTTTGCAGTTCTTCAAGTCATTCATCATAATTTGTTATCATCTCAGGCAATACAAGTTAGACAACAGGTATTTAGTTATTTGTAATCTAAAGCTGTTTTAAGATGAAATTCCCAACCAAGGTAGACAGGAAAAACAGCTTAGCTGTGTCAAGTTTAAGTGCACAATTTTAATTGATTCAATACAAAACTTTTGATTTGCAAAGATGAGAAGATACATGTTACTGTAGTCACTTCTGTGAGTTAAGTTGTTGACCCTTCAACTCCTAGAAGTGACTAACATGTAACTGCTCTCTATGATATTCATACATTTTCTGACAAATGGTTAATGAGAATACTCAAACTTATCAGGGAGAAGTTTTTATCATGATCTTACACCAAATTCTTGTCACTAATTTACAAGGAATTGTGTAGCAGCAAGAGGAGAGAATTAACAACCAGATCTTGGGAGTTAAAGGGTTAAAGTGACAAGCATTCTGCATGATAGTAATTGACCAAACTGACTACCTATGTGGACAGTAGTTCATGTCTACTACAACATTCTTTTGTACAAACATTCATAATCATTTGTATTGTTATTTCACAATTTCACACTTTTATATTCAAATTTTTTTCATTCCTTGTTATTCACATTTCACTCATCAAAGACTGTGGTTTAGGCAGTGGAAAGTTTATAATTTTTTAAATCATTTTAACCAGAGATTTTTATTAAAATCTTGACAATGTCTTATCCTGGCTGCAGCTCCTCAATATTTTCATTCTGGATGATGCTACGATTATGGCAAAAGTATACTTTGGGATAATAGAGGTGGTGAAGCTTGAGTTTGTTGACAAAATGTTATAAATGATGTTTGTCTGTTTTGTACAACACAGGCTCTGAAGTGTATGATCAGTTGGGTCCAGTTTGGTGTAACTATCTCTGACCTTGGCGACACCCTGCCTCTTGTGTTTGAATCAATTCACAATCCTGAGTTATTTGATACCAGTGTCGACTTGATAGTTGAGGTGGCCACTCATCCTTCTGGAATGAAGTAAGCAAGCACTGTAAAACTTTTCTTAGTGTGTCCAGTGCACTAAAGTGGTACTACTCCCCCCTGGATGGGATGCTTCTCCATCACAAAGATACTCAGTACCAGTACCCATTTATAATCCTGGGTGGAGAGAGGCATGGGGAGAGGAAAGTCTTTTACTAAGAACACAACACAGTGGCCTGGCCAAGTCTAATGAACCCAGGCCTCTCAATCCAGAGTCTAGCACTTGAACTGCAAGCCACAGCATTTCCCACTGTTAATAGTGAACTGAAGTGTAGAGATGAGCCTGTATTAAGCGGTCACCCACAGGGAATTTGTGGCTGGCCGCTTTACATGTCTGCTTCACACAGGTCCCACGGAATAGGGGTATTTTAAAAACCAATAAAAATTGCTGTTTTATGCCTTAATTGACCATGTTGGCTACTTAATGTATAAAAACTTGCTCCAAAATACTACTAACATTGATTTCTGGAGATAAAAATGGATTAAAATTTACTTGAAAGATAATTCTCAATTTTATTTGAGTGGTTCTACATTAAGTGACCATTCAATACAGGTGGAGGACAATACAAAAAAAATTGGGACTCAGTTAAGGGTGACGGCAACCGCTTAATAGAGGTGAAAATTATGTAACAACTTCTGGACTTTGAAAATGGACCACCTAACAGGGAATGACTACCAAATTCTTTACACCCTAACATCAGTCTCTATATTCTCCATACTCACCTCTGTATTTTTCTTTTGATATGGACAAGGAGAATTTATTTGAAGATCAATGCTTCTTCGGTTGGCGATCATTTCCTTTATTCTCATGATCTTGATGAATGTTTTAGCAGTAATATTGTAAGGAGAAACTAGATGTTGGTCACTCTTAGGGTTTAAAGGATTATACAGTGCTGCTTAGTACAGGTTTGACTGAAATTTTATATGTTTTTTTTTTCTTAATTTAGATATCCTAGTTATATGTGGAATTTTGTGTCAAGTGTTCTGACTCTCAGTGAATCTTTAAGAACAGCTTTGCAGTCAGGAGATGTGGTGAGTAGATTAATTTTGGTTTTAATGTAGATCTGAGAGTAAAAGACAATTGATTCACATATAGCTTCCTAATTAATTTGCTCTCTTTTTTTTTAATTTCTCCAGGATACATCTAGAGGTTTATGTCGGGTTATGGTGTCATTAGCTGAGACACATTTAAAGTTGCTCTTGTCAGCTGATAGTGAAGAAAAAGAATTGCAAGGATTCACACTTGTGCAGTTATTATTGGTGAGGATAAGTACATTATTGAAAGAATGGCAACAACTGCAGTCCTCATTATGTGGTTAAAGTTTCTTGAATTACAGTGTGTAACAACATTTTGCTCCCCTGTATTGCCCAGTATTTTGTCCAAAAGGAATATTGTTTCCCATCCACTCCACTGTGCACTCAGTTTGTAAGGGAATGCAATGTAGAAATACATCTGCATAGCCAAGAAAATAACTGGAGATACTCTGAAGCAGAGACAAGGGGCAGTACAAATTCATCTGAGAAGTTCTTACTTACGGCTGTATTTACTTGAAATAGGACTATAGTATAGCTGTACATGATTGTACAGCTGTCTGTTCATTCTTGACCTTGGATTTACCAGAATAAAGTGCAATTAGCTATCATTATCTAGCCTCAACCCTTTCGTTTCCTGAGCCCAGTTGTAAAAAGGGTGAATAATGCTATCTGAAGGATCAATCACTATCTGGCAGATAAGTGGTAGCAAAAGGTATAGCGCTGTCCACCATAAAGTGATTTATTCAGTGGATAGTGTTATCTAACCTTCGAACATACAGAACCAGATTGTTACTTCTTCCCTCTTGCTGTTACACATTTCCTTGTAAAGTACTTTCGAGAATTTGGTGTTAGATTAAGATCATAACAATTTCTACCCAATAAGTTTGAGTATTTGCATTACCTGTTTACTGGATAGTGTTTGGATATACATGTAATAGGGAGAAGTTACATGTTAATTGCTTCTAGGTGTTAAAGGGTTGAATAGAGATAAGAACTTGCATTACTGATGGAGATGTAATCATACCCTCAGAAGCTTCTGTGCTTCAATCTTAAAACCTTTAGTCAAAAACTAGTAGTATTTCATATTATTATACGATTCATAATTTTTTTGTTTGGTGGTATTTTCATTTGTAGGAATGTACAGGTGCCCCAGGCTGGTATCCTGTGGATGAGCAGTGTAGTGAGATCACATTCAACTTTTGGTATACTCTACAGGCATGTCCTCTTTCACTCTAAAATGTCATTTTTTACATCTTATTTGTTTGTATTGATAGAATACATGATGCATTCTTTTGAATGCTATAAAAGAAATATGTATCACCAAACAATTGTCATGAGAGAGAAATGTCTTAGTCCCTGGTTTGGATTTGCTTCAGCCAGGTCTAGTTGAATGCTCTGTAGGAGATTTACAAAGAAATTGGTGGCAAATGCAGCCATATACTACAGCTGGGGTTTCATCAATAGCCAGTTACTGGTGGCCTTTCACTGCCTGTAAGATCTCTTATTGCCCTCTGTGGCCCATTAATGCCCAAGAGTGCTATATGGCACAAGATGCTATTACATGCTCAATATTTAATCAATTTTTCTGAAATTTTTCACAACTAGAAGGTTGTTAAAGATCTGCACATTGAGGGCATAAAATCATGGCCCCTCCAATCTAAGACTTGATTTACCATCTGTGCAACTTTAGTAACTCATTGTCTTTGTACTGTTTTGGTCAAGGTGATATCTCACAACAATCAATGCTCTGAGAGCTGCAATTTAAGCTACAGTCTAGTGGTATATGTATGAGGCAAACAAAAAAATTTCAATGTTTTTAATCTTTCACTTTGGACACTTTTCAGTTACCTTCTCCAAACCTGTTGGGTGTAATTAATAGCATACCCCAAAAATACCTTTAAAATGATATATGATATGTGGTCCAATGGTTCATCACTCTCATTATAGAAAAATTTGGCATTTCCCTCCTGCAGTAAAGGTTAGCCTGTGATCAGGCTTTTGTGTTTGGGTTATTCCTAGAGGCACAGCAGCCTTTTACAGCATTGGCAGCCGCTGATGAAAAAAGTTATTGATACCCCTGCCAAAGAAGGTTCACATGTTACAGAGGTCTTGCATACTGCTAGGATTATTAATGTCCTAATACAACCAGTATAGAGTTGACAGAATGATAGATCTTTTAAGATCTATCATTTTCCTGTCAACTTAACCCTTTCACTCCCATAGTGACCAAGACAGAATTTCTCCTTACAATATTGATACAAGATCAACTAGATAAGTGACAAGAATAAAGAAAAATATCAGTTTGGGGATAATTAGTTGATCCAATACTAAATTCTCTGAACTAACATCACAAGAATTGTCTGGTTGAAAGTGAGGAGAATGACAAATTTGATCTGGGAGTTAAAGGGTTAAAAGCTCAAAAGCTTCATCACCAAGAAGGATAGTTGAGTGCAGTGGTTCCAAGTGTAATACAATGGAAAATGTGATCCCTCTGTGCTTATCTTTGACTTTATTTAAGTTAACTTTGGGTTCACCAATCCACAAGTTAGTAATAAATAGGGTGAAGGAAAAATATGATTGTGTACATGAAACTTTTCTTCTTGCTTGAAACTTTTTCTTTCTCCACATTCAGGATGACATCAGTTCAGAAGAACCTAGTACCATGGAGAAACACAAAGCCATGTATGGACCTGTCTTGTTATCTCTGTGTCAGGTCTGTATTGTTGATTACAACCTCTGTAAAACTGCTGTGACTCAGAAATCATTAGCTGCATCAAGTGCTTGTGTCAGTTTTTTTTCCCTTTTTTGGAAGTGTTAGTCATGGGGTCACCAACAGGGTTATCCTTACACACCTTGGGAAGACAAATCAATTAAATTCTCCTGCCAGGCTGAAAGATGATGACAATTGAAAAAATGTCAAATGGAGGATACTGTTTATTTGATTTAACTGTAAATTCTTAGAAATACCATTGCAAAAAATGTGTTGCAGACAGTGATATGTGGCCCTGATTTTAAGCCTTTAGCTGAGGTCATTATGGTGTATTCTCTGAGAAGACACTTTGCTCCTGAGCCTTTTACTCACATTAGTGACTAAGACAGAATTTCTCCTTGCATTATCAATACAATATCAAGCAGACAAGAAACGAGAATATCAATCAGTGGATTATTAGTGGATCCAGTACCAAGTTCTCCTAACTTACCTCATATGAATTGTATGGAAGACAGTAAAGAGAATTACGAACAATATCTTGGGGTGAGAGGGTTAAAGTATTTAACTCCCAGATCAAATTTGTAATTCTCCTTTCTGTCAACCATACAATTCTTATCATGTTAGTTCAGAGAATTAAGTATTGAATCAACTAATTATCCCCAAATTGATATTTTCTTAATTCTCATCAGTTATCTGGTTGATATTGTACTGATATTGTAAGGAGAAATTCTGTCTTGGTCACTCATGGGAGTTAAAGGGTTAAGTGTATGATGCATGTACATCCTTATGAAGTGTCAAGGTAACTTGTCTTGACAGGGTAAGTTGACGTTCCATTCCAATGTTTGGAATGTTATACTGTAAACATGAGCTGTTGCATAATAAAGCCATTGTAGTTGGGGTTTGTAAAACCAAACCTAAAGTGTTAGGAGAATTTAGAAAGAAAAACCTGCCAACTGTTTGAAGCTCAGGATTGACTTGCATTGTATATCTGATTGGTTAAGGGTAGCAAAAGTTTTTTAGAATTAGCTAATCATATTCAAGTTGAACAAAGCTTACCTTGGATTACTTTCAGTTTTCCATGAAGAATTTTTCCAATTTTTCAATCAACACAAACTTGTTATCAAAGTAAATTTTACTTTACATATTCTTTTGACTTTTTGCTCAAGGTGTTTATGAGGAAGGTTCAATATCCTCCAGAAAATGTCTGGCAAGGATTTTCTTCAGGTAAGAAAAGAGAAAAGGATTTTTATCTTAGTCTTTTGAACAACAGTTGAATAAAGGACTCTTTTCTGTGTTTCTTAGCCTGTTTAAAACCTGAGAAAGTTTGGAGAGTTTTGAGAATTTGTGAGCGTGGGATGCGGTTATCAAGACCTTTGTTTATGTTATCTACCTCAGTCTTAAGCCCTAGCAGATAATATGAACTTTGGCCTTAATAATTATCACTCTCGTATGCAGTTTCTTTGAATAAATATTAACTATTGGTCCAAGGATATTTGGATTAATGTCAGTATCTGAGCAACTACGCACCTACCTCTCCCCTAACCCGACATTAACCCTGACTTGTTATCAGTCAACTCTTTTGGGTTAGGGGAGGGGTAGGTGGACAGTTGCTAAGGATACTGACGGTGATCCAAATATCTTTTGGAAATTTCATCTCTTTTCTGTGCCACCGGTCTGTTCTTCTGAGGACACCAGTAATGTTTGATAACTTGTTGAACTCTCAGATCAAATTTGTAGTTCTCCTTACTGTCAACCAAAAAAATTGATCTTTTTCTTTGTTCTCATTATTTATCTGGGTGATACTGTATTGATATTGTAAGGAGAAATTCTCTCTTGGTCACTCATGGGTGTTAAAGGTTAGAGGAAATGAAAGAACAAGGAACGAATTGCTACTGATGTACTAATTGGAATAAAATTTCAAACATTAAGAAGTATCAGAATTGAGATATCTGCCTAATGCCATAATTTTGGTTGATTTGTTGTTTTTATTAGACGAGAAAGAGCAGTTTAGATGCTACAGACAGGACATAGCTGATACTTTGGTTAGCACATGTTATTCTTATAATTTTTGTATTGACTAGCATTCCGTCCAGGCCCGATTTGTTCAAAGCTGGGTTAAGATAACCTGGGGTAAGTGCGAAATTTGATTTCAGGTCTGAAAGCTTGAAAAGAAAATTCAGTTCAAATCTTTTTTCTTGCAATTTGATCATTGGATGTTATGAAAAGAATAGGGAAAATTTTCCCTAAATGGTTTTTGAACAACGAAATAATGAAACCTGGATTAAAATTTAACCCAGGGTTGGCGTTAATCGACCTTCAAACAACTGGGCCCAGTATAGTCACTTTGTGTAATGGGAACTGGATATTAAAACTTCGAGTATGTGGGCTATGCAGCATCTCCATCTAAGTCTTTTTGTGTTTAGGATAGTGATCAGAGAATTGTTTCGTGTAAACATTGACTTCGTATGATTAAAAAGAAAAGTTAAATCAGAATGTGGAATTACTTGATTTCTTGGTCTTGAGGAGGAATACTTTAACAGACTATTCGTGTTTTTTTTTTAGATGTATGTTTATTGTTTATTGAGAGGTCACTGTTTACAACAACTGTACCATATGTTGTCAGAATTGTTAGCAGGAGAGACACAGCCTTCTTGGCAGGTTTGTATAAGTACAGTAAAATTAATTTTACTTTTAATTTTTAAAGCAAAATTTGAGAGAGCTTCAATAGGCTCAAATGCAATATACTCGAAAGTAGCTTGTTGGTAACTTCTTTCTTCATTGCGTCATCCTTTCATTCCTAAGATATGAAAATTATAAGGAGCTCTATTCGTATGTCTCACAATGAAATTATGGTCACTTTTGATGAGATTCGTGGTGTTTGGACTGCTTACTACGGGTCTTCTCCAGACGATAAGGTCGACTGAATACACGTCACCCAGCGTCTAGTTGTGATCGGCTTGTTCTCTACAGCTGTGATTGGTTTGTTTGCTACAGCTGTGATTGGCTTGTATGCAACAGCTGTGATCGGTTCATTTGCTACAACTGTGATTGGCGCAACGTCGCGATCCATAAGGAAAGTGACTACTTTACGAGACCAAAAATTATTCCTCATTTTTAGGTTGCTGTATTTGTGTAATATTGTGGATTGATCGTCCGGGTGAGTGTAGTCCTGAGAAGTGAATAAAGGGGTTAAATTTCTAAAGAAACTGTGGTGCTGTGTCGGTGGGAGAGTATAACAGGTAATTTAGTGTTAACAACTGAGTTGAAAACGTAAATTAGCCACCGCAAAGGGTAAAAAAGCTGACGTATTGTGGAGCTTAATTCGTCCAATCGCTCTGAAGAAGGGCTAACGCTCGAAACGTCAGCTTTTTTACCCTTTACGGTGGCTAATTTACGTTTTCAACTCAGTTGTTAACACTAAATTACCTGTTAGTCCTGAGAAGGACTGTTGTAGCTTGTAGTGACTGACGTTTAAACAACCTTAACGGATGGCATCATCACTCCAATCATGACTTCCGCTCAGGTTGTTGAAACGTCAGTTACTACTACCCATAACAGTTCTTCACAGAACTGCAGCCACCCGAACGATCAGACTACACTATCACAAGTTTCCCCCGCGTTCAAACTATTTACGATGTTATACTCAAACCTGTATAAGGCAGTCACCCTTTATTAAACGGTCGCTTTCGACAGAAACTATGTCCAAGGGTTTATCTTCATTTTTGGTTGTTTCTCTTCACAGTCTGTAGATGCTACTTTGTATTTGATCCAGTCTGTTGCTGAGTATGTTGAACCCACTGAGGAGAGTTTCATTCCCGCTATTCTGTCATTGTTACCAAGACTACCGTCCCATTCTTACGTTTCTCAAACAGCGCTGCTGATGGTTGGTATGTGTGCATGAGGTTTATTCTGGTATAAAGCCTGATTCTCCTCCTTGGCTGCTAAACATTTATTTGAATGTGAGATCTGAGGAACTGATATTACATCAAAGTAATATCTTCTCCGAGCATTTAAACCTCTCTTCAGGGGCACGCTTGGGACATGAAGCAGTGTCCCGCAAACAGGGGAATCCTTTCAATAAATTGAACGCATACAAAGATTATGAGACCATTTTTTTTCTCTGACGGGACCAAAGTTTGTGTTCCTTGATTAGAGGTATCGCCCCGAATGGAAATTTTTTAGAAGAAAATTTTCCATTTTATTTACCTCATAATTTTCACCTTTCTGCCCAGCAATTTGCTCAGATTATAGAAGGTTACATTATTACAAATGCTGAGCGTCAAACGATAAATCTTGGAAACCCTCTTCCGAGAGAGCCGTGAGAGAGCCGTGAGACGACACTTATCGAGCAGAACGAGAAAACGAAAGACTGCTTTGTTTTTTACGACTCTTAATCGAAATGCGTTCTAATTTATTTTACAAAATCACATTCTCTTAGGTTCCTACTCAGAATGGCTCAAGTGTCATCCGGATCATCTTCGCTCAGTACTTCCTGTATTACTCGGTGGATTGTCTCAAGTGCATCTCGCCTCAGCTTCTACCCAAGCCCTGCGTGGCATCTGTGAAGAGTGTGTCCAGGATTTAGAGCCCGGGTCCTTAATGGAGATTCTGACGCACTGTCAGGTAATCAGTTGCTTTGTTGCTATGTTACGAGAGTCCCATTTCTGTGACCCTCAAATACTCATTTTTCTAGCGGTATTTAATCTCAATATTTCTGTTACTTAGCCACATTGTTATTACACCCATTTAGACTGGCCTATCAGGAGGTGTGATGAAGGTAAGAGTAAATGTCTTTGTTTTTGTGGAATCATTCTTTCGTGAAAACATCACTGAAGTGGGAAAAAGTTAAGGTTTTGTGGAGGTAGATGTATCTTTATTGTCTGAAGTAATCTGAGATGTCGTTAGACTCTTACTACTTGAAAACTTAACAATTGAGTGTCTGAGAATAAAAACGGACTTCTGTGTCCCTGCAAGGAATTAAACCCCAGATCCTCGTTGCTCGCCGATGATCTACTGGTGAGCTGCTTAGAACTTTATCGTCAGTTATTCTATAGAAATGTTCATATTTGACAGAAGTCCTGTATTTTGCTGGGATCAGCAATGTAGAAAGTGTCGTGTATGTAATAAGAGAAGGAAAAGTCATCTAACAAAATTAATTTTTGTTGAAAGGAGCGAGAGCGAATTCGCTGTGTTGAATGCATCGGACATGTGCTGTCAGTACAAGACTCCGCTGGTGCAGTGGAACAAGTGAAGGCGGTATTCACTCCTTATGTGGAAGGCTTGGCTCAGATAGTACAACAACAGGTAACATAATTTCGGACTGTCATGCACTCTTTGAAGTTTGTGTGACACATTTGTTACTCTTCACATGAACCGCTGGTTGATTCTCAACACTAGAGCTGAATTTTCCAAGGTGGATAAACTACGAATAAGCAACTTTTTTCCTTACTAGAAGTAGTTTCAGTGTTAAGTTCAACAAACATTATTTGGAAGAAAAGAGAATGGGGCACTAACTATTTTCCTTACCCATCGTTGTTCATCCATTTATTTTGATGAATGCTTTACCTGCATTTTTTGGTGCTAGCACTGTTAACGTGGTACGGTTCTCATCTCCCTCCAGCCCACTGCAGAGCTAAAAGCTAATCTTCAGTTTCACCTCCGGCTCTTTGTCGTGTTGTTTAAATGCTTGGACCCTGAAAATGAAAACATTGGGAATAAAATTCATCCGGTAAGTAGTAAAGATAGCTTTAGAAACAAGATAATTTTCTTCCCCCCTAATCACCTATTCCCTCAGTTCCCTCATTTCCTTTTTTCCCTATTTTCCTTATATTTCCCATATCCCCCACATTCCTAACGTTCCCCACATTTCCAACATTCTACATAAGGGGTAACCATACTCCCTGCCACCTCATGGTAACAAATTCAAGTTGAGTTCTCGCAGTTATGCGAATCAGTGTTGTCTGTAGTTTGAAGCTAACCTGTTATGTCCCTTATTTCAAAGGCTGCAGTTGTGCTGAACGATATCTTACCCTCGTTGAAGTCCATGGCTCCTTGGATGCAAGATAATGATGTTCAACAAGTGAGTGAACTTCTCTTTGTCGAGAACGCGTGGACGATAAATATGTAATAATACTTTACTCCCTGGATGTTACTCTTGTAACTGTTGTCTACACCTCCCTGTAAATAATGGAAAGAACCCAATGTTATTTCAAGAAAGCACCCTCCAGCTGACAACGTTGTCTATTGTCGTGACATGTCAGGTTCGTTTTGTGCTTATTTTGCAAGGATAAGTGTAATGTGAAACACTGGAAGTTGTTTGACAGTTGAGAAGAAGGTTTAACAGTTGAGGAATATCACTTGGGTATCTCCTCGGATATTCTCCAGTTTTTGCAGGGGCATATGCAGTCTCGTAATGCGTTTAGACCAATCGTATGCAAGCAAAGATATGTGATGGATTATGATATGGTTTATGTGATCTTTTGCGGCGATTCTGAGTATATTCCTTTCACAGCGAAATTGGCTTCAACCTTTTTCGCGCTTCGGAAGACAGCGGAACAACTTCGTCATGTACATTATAGCTGGCGTATTAATCTCCATGGGAAATTTTTCTGGCTGACAAGTACCTTTTGTCTAAAAATAACTGAACTAGGTGTTTTTGAGTAAGTTCTTTGTGGCCTGGGGAAGTTATTCTCAAAGCTTATCTTCTCTTGAAAGCTCTGGTAAATCCGTTGTTTTCGTTTATTGTTTGATCTTCGGTGTCACGTCACCGCCCGTGACGAGTTCTAATAAATTAGAGGGTACGTAGTAAACTTAACCATCTGGAACTCCGCTTTGAAGCTTGACTAAATCTTTAGTTTACTTAATCTCATTACCTGCTTTTAACATTTTACATACGGTGCTGCTGAATAGCAATTCTGCCTGTGCTTGGAGAGAGCCATAGGAACAATAAGAGACTACATGGGCGGACTTGTGTCCGGTCTGTCTGAACTTGTGGTCGGATATTTCTCCGTTTCTCCAACCAGTGGAATCCTGGATCTCGCTTCCACGGTAAGAATACCTTTATCTGGCAGTTAACCCATAAACTCCCAGAAGTGATCTATGCGTAACTTCTCCCTTTAATATCCATACATTATCAAGAAAACAGGTGATGAGAATACTTAAACTCAATAGGTAGGAGTTCTTTTCTTGATCAAACACCAAATTCTCATAATTAATTTCCAAGGCAATGTGTAGCAGTTAAAGGGGAGAATTATCAATTAGATCTTTGGAGTCAAGGGGTTAAGTGTTAATCAGCGGTCATCGTGATTCTCAAGATAAAATTTGGTTTTTTCAACGGAGTTGCTAATAATGTAAATTGGCCACCGTAACGAGTGTATAAAGAGTCAGTCTAGCTTTAGAAACTCTTTACGGTGGCCAATTATCACTACTAACTCAGTTGATCAAAGCAAATTAGTTTGTCATAAACTCCACTTACGCAGCACTACAGTTTCTTAAGGTATTTACCCCCTTTATTCATTTGAGATAAAGTAATTCTATCAACGTTTTTTCATATCTTTATAAACCTCTACATATCTTTACGTGAAAACCTTATGTTTTAGTCGCAGAGTGCTCTACACTCGTGGAGCTAAATAATTTTTAATTTAATAGAAAAGGAGAAATTATAACATTGTACAACAGAACTGTTTCGAAAGGGTCAGGTGCATGGATCACTGACTAAAAGTCCTCTACCATTATATTTATTTTAATCTTTAAGCTGATAGGAATGTACGGTATGGTGGACGAACATTACCGCACCATACTTCTAGTATTTCAAAGAATCACCACAACAACATTGCAGCTTCTGCAGAGCAGTAAGTGTGTAAAGGGTTATATAGCAACTTATTAATTGCGTGACAACATCATCATTTATGTAAATGTTTTGTGTGACAACCGACTTGATGCTTTAGTCACAATTTTTTAATTTGAAGAGTTTGCTTGGAGGCTCGTTGGAATTTGGTGATGTAACTTTTGAACTACTTCTGGCCAGTGCCATGTAAAGGTCGAGTTACGCTAGGCTTCTATTTTGAACGTTTTGAGATTAACTCAGCAGATATTACGGTAAATGGTTTGAACTTGGGGGCAACATGTGATACTGTAATCCTGTAAAGGACTGTTGTCGGTAGTTGTCACTGACGTTTCGACGACCTGAGCGGAAGTCTTCATCAGAGTCAAGTGAACAATTGTTGTCAGTCGAATGTACTTAGTTCGCTTCATGTAAACTGATTGGTCAGTTTGGCCGTGATGTTATTGGCCGTAAGACTGAAGTGGCGCAAGTTGGTCGTGGCTAGTCAGCTTCGATCCGTCGGTAAAGTTAGGTTCTGTTCGGTGCGTTTGTAATGTTGATGTCGTAAATAATTCTTTTGTGCTGGTCGTAATTGATTCTTATTGAGGGGTATCTGTTCTAAGTTCTAAATCATTACTTAGCAGATATTGAAATTTACGAAAGGGTGTCCGTGGCTTTGGTAAAATTATATGATGGCTGGGTGCTTTAGTAGAACACGATCTTTTGTAGCACTGGACACTGTTCTGCTAATTCTAGTGCGTTCATACTTGTAGTGTAAGGTCTTCATGATCTTTTTCTATTTTACTCATGTTTGTGGGACAGATTTGCGCGACTTTCCAGATATACTTCAGTCATTTATGCAGTTTGTTTGTAGGGTAAGTTTCTCAGGAGAACTTTTAAATCGTTTCACTCCTATCAATTTCTCTTTTTTGATCGTCATTGCACGAATCATTCAAGTATCTTCTTAGCTTCGCTTTCCGATGGGTAGTTTACCTTGCCTTTACAAACCACGGCCAAATTTTCGCTTTTCTTTACTGCGCAACAAAATATCCGCTCTCACCGAGAACTAAGAATCTCCACCACTTTTGAATTTCGAGTTTTCTATTGTAAAATCCGACATTCCTGTCTTTGTTTTTCGTGTATACATTTCTTACAAAACATTTTTCAACAGGGACTGAAGGCCAATACAAAACTGGTATTTGAAGGAGATGGATATCATGTGAACATATTTCAGTGCGGTAAGATAGTAGATGACGAGGGAACGTAAAACACAGGAGAATCTTCTTGTTTTACGTTGCTTTACACTATGCTACGCGATCTTGTGTTACTGTTAACGTTCCGATGAACCCTGTTGGTCTTTTTTCTAGCTTTACCCACTAAAAGCTTAACCCATTCCGATAAAAAATGTAATTAATTGATTGACTGATTAATCGACAGGACTCGCAGCCCTTGATGTTCAAGAGAGTCACACTGTGAGAGCTGCCTGTACGTTCTTTGTAAGTATGGTGTAACTTCAGATAACAACAATGGACGTTATAATACAACCCGCCCCAGTTTCGTGAGATAGAGGATAGTACATGGTAGCTTGCGACCAGGCCCTCATTATTAGCGCTGCGGCACAGTCATCTCTCTGCCCGCTGGAAACTATGGGTCTGGCACCGATAGTGCCAGATCCCCGGCAAACCTCTCCCGAACTCGTCCCCAGCTCGTAGGCTCAGTGCATGGCCGCTTGGATACGAATTGTATCTTCGATTGTCGATAAGATCTGTTACTCTTGAATGTTCTTCTCAACACGAGAGAATAAATTCGTATCCACAGGTGTACATGTAATGTTCCTTTTATTATATGGTCCATAGAATTTTAAGTTCTTTCCTTAGAGGAATTCTTAATTATCCTCATTATCGGTCTTAAAATTAGAATTTGTAAATATTTCGAGGAGTATTTTCCTCGACTATCGAAGAGTTATAAACGCTTTTCGTATTTCATGGTTAGCCCCAAAATGTGTTCTTGCCCTGCAAGTGTGTTCTTAGCTAAACTGTTAGCTGCGTGCACAACGTTCGTTTTTGAAAAAATGCATTTGAATGTTAGGAAAGCAACAATAACTAACTTTGTTGTAAACATAATACATTTTTGCCACAGTCGACGTTCATAACTGCTTGTGAAAATGAAGAAACTGCGAAACGTACGCTACAAGAATACGGATCCTACCTAGTCAGTCAAGTTATTAGGGTGAGTCTAAGTTTCATGTCCAGCATTCTTTTCTGACACAGTGTCTTGTACAATAATGGTAATGGTAGCAATTAAATTTTTTAGTGCAAAATGATAAGTGTGAAAAGTAGAATCTTAAGGGAGACATCCGACCGTTGATGAGGAGTCAACGTGATCAAATCTCTCTCCGTTTACTTTAATGAGCTTCGTCACGATTTAAGGATCACATATCAACTTTGTCATCTACTTAACAAATAGATTCCAAGTCGCCATGGGTCTGTACAGTAATAGATCACAGATGACATCAAAATGTGCGAAGAACAAGGAAGTGGTGCGCGAGGCGCAACCGAGTGATGTTCTACCACATTATGAAGTCTTCTGTCATCTACTACTTTATAGACGTCCGACGGCTTGGAATGCATTTGTTTTATGTAATAACAAAGCAAAGCGTTGTAAGTGGCGATTTCATCTATGCGTCTGTCCTCTGTTTGTTCAGAAGTAAGAACCGATTAAAATGTATGTAGGATCAGTTTATCATATAGTGACCACTTGCAGCTAACTATGTGTACTCATTGGTAGAGGTAAATATTGTCCCACCCCCCCCCCCCCCCCCCCCCCCAGATATGAAAAGTGGGGATTCATCCAAACCTAGCTAGTAGATGAGGCAAGGGACAACGCATTTAGCCACGCTTTATTCATAAAGTAATTGTTTAACAAATCAGGGTCGAGCGAGTGAGTGAGTAAGTGAATTTTAGGTCCATACCTAAAGCTCATAGCATGATTAACGTTATACCATGAGGTAAAACGTATTCGTCTACGACATCAGGATGGGCCTGGGTTCGATTTTTTTCGTTGAAAATGTGTAAGACGTTTCTGTAAGGAATTCATTTGCTTTCCTCTAGGGAATAGCTGGCGGAGTTCCTCGTCAATGTACGGATTACATGGCGGAAATCTTGTTTGCTTTAAACAGACATAACGTGACAATGCTGTCGCGTTGGATGCAGGTACTTTATGAAAAGGACTCTAAGGCTGCTCGATGCCACCTTGCTACGATTTTTCTTCACTTTTAAAATATTGGCATGAAACAGATAGCGGTATGCTTTTAATTTCTCTTCGTTTATTAATTTCTTTTTTCGCTTCTTCAATATTTGTGAAGATAGAATAGGAAATATTTTAGCTGAAATTTGTTTTACTACCCCAAAAAACCGTAAAGATGCCTGCAAAAAAAAATTAAAACAAGACGCAGTTTTTTTGGCGCACAATCAGCGACCAGGTTTTCATAAGGGAACCTTTTTTGCCTTACGCGACAAACAGGACGGGCTCGTTGCTTACAAGATTCCTTATATAACCTGTCAAGTGTTTTTTTTTGGTGATAGGAAGTGATGGAGGTTGAAGGATTTCCATCCAATCTGGTCACAGTGTCTCAAAAAGAACAATTCTCTAGTGCTGTTTTAAGGTAAGAATGGCTACTGCCAGCGGTGTGCAAAGTTTTCGATTGTGAGTGAAGACGACTTCTGATTCGCTCTTGTTTGCCTCACGACCCCCTTAGGTTGGCGTGAAAACTCGCGCCACATTCCATACAAATCTGGTTTGAACCAATCGTGATATCTGGTTACCAGCCTCTTCCTGTACCTAAAACTGTTACGACTGTCTTTTCTAAGTGCTGATTGGCTCTTTGTGATGTTGACCTTTGTTGTGATTGGCTGTTTTGCCTAAGTCCTGTTTGAGTATCAAACGCAAACCAACGTCAAAAGAATAAGCCTGAACTTGTAGTAAATGCAAATGTTACTTGTTATGAAAGTTTGACTTTTGTAAACTGTGTTGGCCTTGAGAACTTTGTTTTGTGGACTCTGTACCATTTGGTTCCTTACAATGTTATTAATTTATTCAACAGGGAAAGAGCTCATAGAAGACGGGTTAAAGAATCTGTGACACAGTTTTCGTTGCTCTGTCGAGGGCTCTACGGGACAGCTTATGCTAGTTAGCAAGCTGATTCTGCGCTTGCTCTAAGGCACAAGAAAGTAAACAGGCTTATGATCTGGAGCGAAGATGGAATTCGCATGTGTTAGAGGCCTGTGACTTCTCTGCGCATGTTTTAGATCAGTAAACAAGTTTGTTAAGAGTGATAATAATATTATGCATTACACACATGTTGCCTAGACTGCTTGAAATTCGTGCGCAAGTAAAGCATACTGTACGCAGTTAAGTCATAATCTACGTGTGGTTCCATTTTTGGGTACCATTTTTGCAACTCATGCAGTTCTCGGAGTTATTTCACAGCCAGTCTTCTTCGGAATATTTTGTTTGAGAATGATTCCATGGGATAAGGCGTAGTTTAAAGGAGTGGAATATGAATGTGCCCCTTCTCATCCAGTGGATTTAATATTAATAATCAAGTTGAGAAGGTAACAGTGCTACATATTCAGTAGTGTCCTTTGCAGACTTTGTTTGGTCTTGCAAAACAACCCGAGGGATTTCACTGACTTTGACCTTAAGCGGCTGCCGATGGTGAAATGGGCAGCTGCGCAGAAAGGCTCAAGAGTCTGCTCGCAGGTTAAATAGACCGTGAGAGATTGGGTAGAAGAGGATGGGGAAATAGGCAGTAATAACAGAAAAGTCATCAACCTATGAGTTACAAAAGCTTATTTCGTTTCATTTAAATTCTTCAGATGCTTTTTTAAAAGATTTAATCACGAGTGAATTGATATCACAACATATGAGAAAATATAGCTTGTCCTCAGGAAAGAAACACTGATACGAAGCCATTTGGGTCACCAAATAGGGGTGATGTCTTATCCAATTTCTACTGTAAGCTTTGTGTACAAATAAAACAACCATTGAGAAAATTGAAACGTTCAGGAAGACAAGGAAAGCAACCTTCGAGAAAGGGAGAAAAAAATTAATTTAAACCGCGTCTCTTAAATATCCTTCTGCCACTTTCCTGGCAATGCAGTTCTGTCAACACTAAGAAGGTGAAGGTCAGCACCAGTTGTAATCATTTACATGTAAAACACTCATTGAGGAAATTGAAAATGTTGAAGGCCATTTGAAAACAGTAGACATCTGCGCTGCTGCTGAAATTTTTGAAGTTTTCTGGTCGAAGGAGATGAATTGGGTACGCGAGACCTGGGTGGTGATAATTGTGGCAAAAGAACTGAATTAGGAGATCAACGCCACAGCTTATTACACTGGTGCATTACCAAAGAACACATCGTCGACAGAGAAAACTTGCGGACGTCTTCGAGAAATTTTTTATTTTGGCAAGCCCAGTTTTTTTGTTGTTGTTGTTTGTTTTTTATTGAGCACGCCCATCTCTTATGTGAGATGACGCCGTAAATTGTTGATATTTTCGTTTGTTTGAATAGTACATTTTACAGTTGTGTGCTTGGTTGCCAAGCCTTTCAACAAGAATGAGGCTAAGGGTGACCTTGTTATGATACAAACCTTGCTGCTTTTCAAATGCAAATTACTTTGTTATCATGCCAACTAGATACTGGTCTCTATCACGGCAAGGTCACCTTCAGCCTCACTCCAAATAAGAGGCTTGGCAACTAAGTACACAACTGTAAAATGGCCTATTGGTTACGATAGGAACAGGAGTTTGCCCCGCGCTCTTCTTTGGTCTGCTCAAACCAGACTGATGAAAATTTATTTTTAATGTCAGGAGAAGTTTCTTGTGATCTCTCGTAGGGTTGAAGGATTGACTGTGAATAATGGAAGATAAAAAGGACAACACTTTCCTTCGTCCTATTTTCTTTAATGCAAAAATTTTCAAACACTGGTTGTAAGGGTTGTAAGTTATCGTAGAAAACCAGGAGCCTGAGAAAACCAATTCATTAATCGCCAACTACCAATTTCAATTTCATTTCTGTACATATTTGGATAATTTTGTCTTTAATCCTTAATGCAGCGTTATCAGGTGAGAACTAAAAAGTTCCAAACCGTAAGGGATTGCATGTTAGGGTTTTTTTAATTTATATGTTTTTAAATTAACAATACATACAAGACCAGGATTAATATAAAATCTGGCCTTACTTAAAATATTGACATATTTATAACTGTAACATAACTGAAAATACTCACTCTATCTAAATGCCAACATTATTGGCATTTGCTTACTATTATTTTATACATTTCTTCATTTTCTTTGAAGCAATGGTTACACGGAATTCTAAAATTCTTGACGTTTTAGAAAAATCCCACGTATACGTTCACACTTACATACTTTTACACTCAGAGCCCGGTTAAGTAATATTAATCAGGGAAGAGGAGTTTGAGTATTTTGTTTGGGTAGGAATAAGATTAATACAATCCTCCCGAAGGATCTGTGATATGCTTATTAACCTTCCGCATTGGCAGTCAATTTTTTGTAGTGCCCCTTTTTATATTGTAAGGAAGACTGAACTTCTTACAATAACAATACAATATCAAGCAGACGTGATGAGAATAAAGATAAATATCAATTAGGAGGTCGGAGCATTTGAGAAGTGTCAAGATGAAATTTATCTCAAACCCCCTCCCCCCCAGTTGATTTGCAGTCAATTTTCTGTAGTTCCTCCTCTATATTCCCTTGGCGCCAACTGAACCCCCTCCCCCGTTTCCCCT